AACTAAAAAAAAAATATGGCTCTTCTTTGGCACCCCGAAAAAAAATCATAATACAAAACAAATTGGAATCAGTACAAAGTATGGCCTCCACGCTGGTTTATTACGGCCCTACATCTATCGTGCATCGACAAAATGAGATTGTCAATGTCTTGTTGAGGTACATTTGCCCATTCAGCGATTAAAAGCTCTCTCAATTGAAACTTTGTGTGAATGTTCCCCATATGCGGAGTAATTCTTCGTTGAAGCATGTCCCACACATGCTCGATGGAATTCAGGTCCGGTGATGAAATCCAAATCTGGATTCGTCTGTAAACAAAACTGTGGCCCAATCATTTGCATCCCAGTTTTGATGTTTTTGACACCACTCTAATCTTCTACCGCGATTGCCTCTCGACAAAGGTGGACATCTAAGTGGCCTTCTGTTGTGGAGATCTGCTTCATGCAGTCGATTTCTGACAGTATCACGACCAATGGTTACCTGGTGCGTCTGCTGCAACACGTTAACCAACTCAGGTGCTGTGATTGTCGGTTGTCTTCTTGCGGTTAAGACCAAAAATCGGTCTTGAACTGCAGTTGTAGCGCGTCCTCGCCCTGGATGTTGTTCGGCTGGACTGCCAGTTTCACGGAAACGCCGCCACAATCGACTGATAACATTTTGGGAGACCCCCAAACGAAGAGCTACATCATTTTGTCGCATGCCACCTTGAAGAAGCCCTACAGCTCTATTCATCTCAGCCAATGGTAAGTGATGGCGTTCCATGTTAAAGCACAATATTTCCAGTTTAATTGCTGAGCAAGAACTGCATAGAATGTACAAACTCGACACTTTCAGATTATTCATTTTAGCCGAAAACCTACAGTTTGTAAAAAACTTGATAAAAGATTAGTTACCGTTTTTGCAGGCTTTGTTCAACCCATAGAAATCTACAGGGTGGTCGAGTGTACCAATTTAATCGAAATTAAACGACCTCATGCATTTATTTTTATGATATTTAGTATGTTATAAAAATATCCCTAGACTTTTCCGATGTGTGTAAAATGAAAAAAACAAAATAATTGAAATATACCTCAATCAGTATTTTTAGACGATCATTCAGCAATTGCCGGAGAAAGCATATGTAAATTATTTTCTTCGTAATTTAATAGTGTACCTATACATTCACGCCGCTTTTGCAAATGATCATCCAATGCTCAACGAAGATGGTAATTACTCTGTAAACATTTCTGAACAACTAATTTCAGAATCAATTGATACTGATGACGTGCCCGTCATCGTATTTAAAACGGGCGCAATTGAACTCACTAAGTATTTTGCAGACTTTTCAACCTTCTTACAAGAAAGGGGTGTTTTCTTCTTGTTGTAAGATTGCTCGCTTTCAGCCTATTCCCAAAAAGGGCAAGAAAAATCTTTTCAAATAACTATAGACCAGTTGCTTTGCTATCAGTGATATCAAAAATCATGGAGAAAGCCGTAAACCATCACATTCTTGAATATCTGGAAAGCTTCAACATCTTGAGCGATCATCAATATGGCTTTCTGTTTAAAAAAAATCTGTTTAAAATCTGTTTTTCCGTTAACCAGCTGTCGCACCCCTACGAACGACAACCTTCAGAAGTCGAAACTTGTGCGAGCTAAGGATTAACGAGGTCTTACGTGTGATTCCTAACACGGAAACAAAGATCAACAGGCGACCTTCTGACATGTTACCTATATTTGGAATAACGCAATCGAGAAACATGAAGAATCAAAAGCTATTTCTAAGGCCTTTGACCGTGTGTGGCATGAGGATTTCCTGGCCAAACTTCGAAACTATGTTTGAAGGTGATTGACAATGTTTCATGATGAATTTCATTAGTTCGGACTTCCATTGTCTAATATTATATAAAATGGTTTGAAATCCCTAAAAGAACCACTACAAATTAAAAACAATAGCTGAAAATAACAATTATATTAAGCAAAAAAAACTCTGAAATGAAATTACAGTGGAATAAAATACGCTGAGGATACACTATGAAACCACACTATAAAGGGGATTTTTATAGTGTATCATCCTCAGTGAACATGAATTTCCACAAAATAAACAAGTCGTCAATCAAAGAAGAATAAAATACAAGTGGAAAATAAAGCAATTAAATAAAAAAAAATTAAAAATGAAAAAAAATTAAGAGATTCCAAGCCAAGTTACTTCACCCCGTTTCGATTGTTAGTATTCACAATCATCTTCGGGTGAGTACTAGACTAATTCCTCCGAGAGATGACTATTTATGAGTCATTCGTGTACTTTCACTTATTCCCTCTTTCCTCTTTCCGCTTCATTGGTTTTAGTGGGAGATGACCGTTTGGTGGGAGTTGGCTATTTTTCGCTTGATTATGGGTTTCCGTATGTTGCGTATCTCTACGCTATCTTAGCTGAATACATTGTATGCGACTTCTATGAATTTTCTCATAAAGCAGTGTTCCTCTCTGTGTTTGATCTCAGCTTGGGACCACTCGATGTTTTGTTGATGGGTTCCAAATGCTCTGATATTCCTGACTGTGTGTGTTTCTTGTGCTCGGCAATGCGAACTTTCAATGGCCTCTCAAAAAGTCACCCATTTATTTTTTTATACTAAATTTGAGAACTCTGGAAATAAAAACATGTGAAATTCAGAGCTATATTTGAAATATTAAAATTAATATTTCACTCATTTTTTTTATGTAGTTTATTATAAAATAACAATTGCTCATTTTTATTGACGTATCGGTTTTGACTGCATGGCTTCGATGTGCCCCTTTTCATACTTTTGCCAGCCTGAAAAACCCGAGTTATAATGAAATAATGGTTAGCGGCAACTAACTATATTTTTTATTTATATTTTCTATGGAATGGTTTATGAATATCAATTCATCAAATTTTTGACGTTGGTGTTAGCGGCATGAATCGCTATAACCTTTACATTCAGCCTCTTTTTTGGGCAGGTCATGACAATAACCCATGGAGCCACCTGATGAGCAACGTGGCTCGTAACCAACTAGGGTAGCAGAATTATTTCAAGCTCAAATAGATAAAATACAGCTATAATAGAAAATTATCTGATCGAAGATGTATCTATTTGAACCCAGCATCGAACGCCAGCACTTGACGGAAGTGCCAAATCTTGGCTTATACTCATAATTTCCTGAAAGGATGATTCCTGAAAATACAAGTTTGCACCTGTTTTGATCAACACCCTGCAATCTGCTGCCACCTATTATAATACTGTATAACAACAACAGGCTAAATAATTTCTGACAACACTTTCTGCTTTATATACAAAGCTTTCTGTCATTGTCTAAAGATATATTTCTGTGCTCTCTGTCGTCGTTTTTCTTCTCTGCTTCGTCGTTTTTCCCATTTCAGATTTCATTAAATTGGCTAAGTTATAAAGCTGTGCGTAATTCAGTTAGTCTATTGATAAACAGATGGCGTGCAACACAATTGAATTTAAGAAGATATGTACGTTTTTGGTTATACTACAACCCAAATCTCAAATATTTCGCTAAAGACTCAATCTTATACGTTATTTAATCTTTCTAAAAATGAAAAATATTATTGAAAGCCTAGGTTTTCCGTAATGAATTTGCTTTCTAATTTCCACATCACCATTAATGCTGAAGAACCATGTGGAATTCAAAATACATGGCCATAAGATTCCTATAAAATTCCTGATGTGAGCATTTGGACGCCTTGCCCACAGACTCCTCTTTCCCAATGGGCACTTTGGGCAAGTGCTCAGGGCAACGCGATCGATAGGGACACCCCTCAGACCAAATACATAATCCCTAGTTCCTGTCAGACCACCAAACGATAACCAATATTTATTACAAAAAAACTTATATAATTCGGAGAAATCGAACCAAAATTACTGACTACAATACCAACTTACTAGCTTTCACAAACGCGAAGCTTTTCTACTCTCGCCCAAAAATCAGGCTTGCTTAGATAAATTTGTATATAATGGTATACTAAGCACATACACATTTTAAAGAAAAATCATCAGTAGTACACTCATCAGTAGTACACTCATCAGTGTGACTCACTCCATTTTAATTGAGCGAACGAAGCGAAGTATGAAGCTCCAAGTTTGAATTAACCAATTAATTTAATTGAGAAATTACATAGAAAATTGAAACCAAACTCTCCAAACCAGCGTTCCAAACTAACTGACTGAAATCTACGAGGCCTCCACTGCTTATACTCTCTTCCAACAGCCCTCCCAGCCGTTCACTACAACCACGCAACTCTACCTGCAACAAAATGGGGATCCGACCGGCCCACTAGGGACTCCTGTTACCTACCTCGATTTCTCTTATTCACTGTTACAAAATACAACTAAATATATAAATATGTTTTTATCTTTAGTGCAATCTCTAATGCAACAATATTTAATTCTTACTTAATTGTATTTGTTTTATATGTAAAATTTAATAAAATATTTGTTAAAGAAATTTTTCCACCCCGCTAAGTTGCTTTTGTGGACTATATTACATTTGTCTATTCGTTTCATGTAATTGTTAATAAAAATAAATATTTAACCTTGTTCATCTACTTTCATTGTCTATTCTAACAAAATAGTGTTCTGTCAAAGTCATAGGGTCCCCATTATCCTATTATGCCCAGGGCTCAAAATAGGTTAAAGACGGTCCTGCTTGCCCATGTGAAATATAGTATCAAAAACTCCCAAACTACGACACTCTTGCCAAAAAAATAATGAAGAGATCCAATAAATTTCAGCATATCATTTCAGAGGTGCTGAGTAGAACTGAGTACAGGACATTGTCAAGTCAGCCCTTCAATTTTCGGTGTTAATATTTTTGACGGCATCAGTTTCATTTGTGTCGCAAAAACGATTAGATTTCACGTTTCTTTCTGCCAATAATTGATGAGTTGGGTTGGTTGAAAAGTACTTTGAATAAAGGCAATGATATATGTTTTTCAAGATGAACGTATCAAATTATTTCGGTTATAAAAAAGACTAGCAAAAAGTAAGTTTCTGATATATTTTCGATAAAAAACATTAACATCTATCAAAAATATACAAAAGTTAGATTCATTCAGTCGCTACTATCCTCTTCGGAAGAGGAAGCTTCCTCTGCCTGCTCTAACCAGTCAGTGAAGGGTTTAACTTGTGAATGGAACTTCTCTTTCTTATCCAAGGTCCCGTACCATTTCAATATAGCATCCTCAGTCACATAATCTTTGTTATACAAGTATTGAAGAACAAACATAACCCATTTTTCTTTAAGTTCTTCGTTTGAAATTGCTACATCCTAGAAGAAATTAATTCGTTCATTTTATGAAATCAATTGAAACTCAATGAAAATCCATAAAAAAGTTGGGACTTTTCACCCTTTCTAATACGCATCTCAAAGGCCAAGCTAGTAAGGGCGACCTTTCACATATCACGTATCAGTTTATCCAACTTACTTCAATAGCCTGCAAACAATCCTCCATCGCACTTTCGTTACGAATGTAATTCTTCAGGATCGGAGCAAAGAAGGACAGTAAACGAGACAAGTGTGAAAAATATTGAACACCAGTAGGCTGCCTGAGAGACATAATCAGAATAGCTTTGACTACATTGAAGTTTACCTATAAACATTATAATTATTAACATTTTTTAACTAAAAGACGACCTTAATGTTTCTTTAATTTAGAGGAAAAATGTCCAACTGAGGAAATGAAATAAATTTATATCGAGTAAATCAAATTCAACAGAAGATTTCCATAGACTAGGATATAATGTTAATATATGATAGAAAACAACTACTACCTTTGCTGGTACCATGTCAGGTATTGAATTTATTGAATGAAAATTTATTTCATTTGTTTCGAAAACCAGCAAATAGGTCAAATTGCATGAGAATATCATTTGAGCACATGTATTTTTTTCATTTCAGCAGTGGTATTTGTCATTAGAATCAGTTGTCACATTCAGATGATTTTTTAGTCTTATTTGCTGTTGATACATTGATGCTGCTAATGCTGTTCAGCTTATAAGATGTCGTTAAGCAATTTTTGGCCAATTTTTCCAAGCCCAAAAAATTAGCCAGACATTTGGCAAAGGTAGTGTTAATGAACACACTGTTGGACGTTGGTTGGTTGGTAGACCTACAGTGGATCCAGGAGGAGGATATGAGGAAGGACTCTGGTGGAGACTGACCCACGACAAATTTTTTTTCAACAGATAGCAAAGATTTCAAAGATTTTCGAACACATAATTTACGAACAACTAGTAAAATATTTAGATATAAATAATCTTCTGAGTCTTCATCAATTTGGATTTCGGAAAGGAAAATCGACGTCTGATACAATACACTTTCTCACAAATAGTATAAAAGAGGCCTTTGATAACATAGAAAAATATGTGAGCGTTTTTACAGACCTTACTTCAGCATTCGATTCTGTAAATCACTCGATTTTATGGACATGATGAAGTCATACCTTAACGAAAGATATCTAGGAAATACCAAAAGTGAAAAAAGAAAAATATTAAGAGGAGTGCCACAAGGGTCAATATTAGGGCATCTTCTGTTTCTAATCTATATCAACAACCTGCCTCACGTGATGAACTTGTCAGACATAGAAACTATACTGTATGCAGATGATGCAAACGTTAAATGGATAGACTATATCAATAGCATGTGTAGTAAACTTAGCAAGACAGTTTTTGCTATCAGAAGAATTAAAAAAATAGTAAATCAAAGTGCGGCACTTGCAACATATTAACTTTTTCATTCAGTCCTTAGGTATGGTATAATCAATTGGAGTAATGCATCAAAGGTACATCTTAATAGAATATCCTAGTTCCTGTCAGACCACCAAACGATAACCAATNGGAGTAATGCATCAAAGGTACATCTTAATAGAATATTTGTCATTCAAAAATCTGCAGTAAGAAGCATAATCTCTGCCAGTTATGATGAAAAGTGTCGACCAATATTTGCAAAACTTAAAATAATGACCCTATAGCCAGTTATTGTCTATGACAATCTGCTTCCTGTTCAACAAAACTTGATTAATAAAGTTGCTCACAAGGATATACACCAACATGATACAAGAAATAAATCAAACCTTGTTCCTATAGCTAATAGGTTGAGAAGAACAGATAATATAGGAATTAAGCTATACAATGCCTTATCTGTCGAATTTCGTAACTTGCCATTCAGAAGATTCAAAAACTTATTGAAGAAAATATTAACCAAACATCCTGTATATGAAATTGATCAATTTTTCGAAGTTATTCAAGAAGAAAGCACTTTTGTGGTCACCTCCCCAACTTTTACTCAACTTTATATATAATATGTAGATATGTGATTTATAATTTGTAAAGCTCATGGCTTTACATTTTAGTCAATTTTTATACGATTGGTGGGGGAGTGCCCCACGATTTGAACGATCGACAGAAATTGTCACGTTTCCAGGTCTATCCATTACTTTTGCACAACCAAATCGACCCTTTTCTGTATCCGATCGTCACATGTGATTGATGATGGAGAGTTGATCCTCTGCAACAGAATACGTTCAGGAAAGTGGTGGGAATCCAATGAACCACTCAGGCACTCTCCAAAGACAAAAACCTACCAGAAAAATTATATTGTTACTGTATGGTAGATAGCGGTGTTTCACTTTAACTCTCTGTAACTGTGCCAAACCATTACAGCAGAGTGCTAATGTGAGGAAATTAACAAAATGTACTGAAAATTGCATCAGCAGTAGCCTGCACTGGTCAACAAAAGAGGTCCGATCCTCCACAATAACGCCCATCCGCACGAAAATTAAACGAATTGAATCCACCAACTCCCCAGACCTCTGGCCAATTGACTACCATCTTTTCGAGCGCTTTGATAACTTTCTCACCGGTAGATCCTTCGCCAATCAGGAGCAGGCAAAAACGGCCTACGTCGACTCCATCGCATCCCGAGCACACAATTTTTATGCTGACAGATTGAATCGATTTGTGTTGCGTTGGCAAAAGTGCACCGATTCAAATGATACTTATTTTGATTAAATTGAATAAGTATTTACATTTACTGAGATATTCCAGTTTGAAGTCGAAGCTCATAAAAACGGGCAAAACTTTTAAAACAACCTAAAATATTCAGTCATCCATATCAATGAAGATTTTTTTCAACACATGTATTGTTTCTGAGAAGGCCACTCTATGTTTTTATCACTAGCAGGAGTTGTCATATGTAGTTGATATTTATATTGTCCACTTCTGAGACTCATTTGCCGTTTTCTTAGTGTTCTTTTTCCATTTGGATTTCTCAATATTTGGTTAAAGTGGAGCCTTGACCAATTAACATGATAACACTAACGACAAATACACTAGAGTCGTCAACTCAGAATAAATACATGCTCCATATGAAATCATTTACCAGAAAGAAATTTGTATAAAAAAATAGTTGACCTCAATTGAAATTTCAAAGTTAGTCACATAAATACTGAAGAAAACAGATTTAAAACAACAATTGACTGTTTCAATTGGATACGCATTAATGGTCATTCTCACTTTCCATATGATAGTGCAAAAAGTTTTGATGACCACTTGAACATTCATTATTTAACAGCAAAATGAGTACCTCTTCATTGTTACATCTATCTTCAAAATATCAAAATGAGCGGCAATTTCACACATCTTCATTTCTTACATGTCTGGAGATCTTCATTGAAAATTTGACTTGCTCGATAGAAAACAGAAGGTGTATTTCAACATGCTGTGCCTTATCTACAATCAGTGGGAAACTGATTCCAAACTTTGTACAGGTCATGGTAAATGTTATTAGAGAAATCAATAGCATCCTTTAGAGCAAAAAAAATTTGATTATTCACCTCTTTCACAGTGACATTATATGCGTATCGGGATGAATTGATTTCAAGAATAAGGTTATCGCATAGCAGATTGTCATCAAACCCCCTGGTTAGGCTGTCGATTACTTCAGTAAAGAACACTAAAAAGAAAAGGAAACTATTAGTCATGTTTTGGTGTTTGAGTAAAATGAAATGGAAGCAAAGCAACTGACAGATATTTCTGGTTCTTAAATAACAGTAAAAAAAGAAGCTACTTCTAAAGACTCTGCGGATGAAGAAGCGGTAAATGTATTCAGCGAGATACAGTAACATAATGAACTATAGACTAATCTGAAAAATTTGTAAGCAATGAAGTATATATCAGCTAATTTGACAAAATATGTGAAAAAACCAATCAGAAAATGCAAATAGTTATGAAAATATAATTCATACAACAAAATTTAACCTCTTTGATTTTTTCTTGATATTAGTTGAAAATGAAGAGTCTTCACAGGATAAGACAGTGATAATAAATGAAAAAAAAACTCGGAAAGGGTATAAAAATTTGGAAAAGTTAATCTGTAATTAACTGTATACACCTCAAGTTTAGTGACACAATGAGTGGGTTAAAAAAAAAAAATTAATAACAAATAAATTACGTAAAGTAATAGTTTACATTAATTTCAAAAATGATTTGACTCAAAGGTCCATTTTCTTTTTAGTGAATACAAAGACGGTTCATTTTTTAAATATGTTTTGTCATAACATCTCAAGAAAATGAATACTTTAAACTTTTGAGAAAGTTCTGAAGTTAATAATGTTTCTGAACACAAGTCAACACGTGAAACATGCAACATCATCAAACTACTAGGCTTCATTCAGACATTCACAAATAGTCAAAAAGAAACCGAAAGCTATTGGAAAACTCCACAATTCAAAGACCCTTTAAAACAGCCATAAAAAAAGATTCATTTAAAAGTCTGTAAAAATCAGTTTTACTCCCCTAATTTTTATCTTACTTTTTGTATCATCGGGAGCTTGAGAGAGAGTATCTGATAATTCTTCTTCGTCGCTCTCACTAAATCCAGCGTCCTCTTCTGATTCAGACTCTTGATACACATCAACGTTTATGTGGGGGAATTTACTGGACAATGCTGATATATCTGCTTCTTCATCTTCCCCAGCAGTTATTCTCATTCGGTATGCTTTAGAACCAAGTTTGTCCCCTTCCTCATCTAAAAATAGACAATCAGATCGTCCACGAATCAATTCGAACAAACCCATTTACAATTCTCAGGTTGTGTAGCCTGTACAAGAGTGTTTTCCACAAATATATCTTTTTCTACGACTGATCCTTCCCCTAATATGCTGCCAGTTACTTTACTTTTGGATTTTATGATACACCACGGGCCTATCAAACTATGTGATATAGTTACGTTGCCTTCCAGCTTTGTATTTGACAATATGAAGGAGTCTTTGATTGTAACATTGGGACCCACTTTTATATTGTCTCCTAGGACTGTCCTCTGCAAATTCGCTGATTCGTGAATTGTTGTATCTTGGCCAATGATTACATCATTTTTCAATGTTCGATTCCTGTAGAGTACATGTATATTTATGATAAGTCACAAATACCAGAAATAAATTGAATTCGCAATGAAGTAAAAGCAATTCATAAATAATAAGATTAATTAGTAAAGGTTCACTAAAAACATACAAAACGTTCAAGTCAATAAAGTAATTTATGAAGAGAAGAATATTTGGTTTTTAGTTCTGATGAGTTCTTTCATGAGTTGAAAATCTCATTTTTTATATATTAGATAATAATAAATAAATAACTTTTGTACTTATGATGCACTGTTTGAAATTATTGAATTATTACTGGAATTTTATCCCAACACCAAACCGTTATTTTCAACACCTCAACATATGTTTCAATCACCAAGTGATCATCTTCAAGAGCACGATCAAACTCTTGAATATGATCACTTTGTGATTGAAACGCGTGTGATTGAAACACTTGGTGATTGAAACACTTGGTGATTGAAACACTTGGTGATTGAAACACGTGTTGAGGTGTTAAAAATAACGGTATGGTGTTAGGATAAAACTCCAGTAATATTCATTTGAATAAATTTTGAACAAAGGTCATTTTTTGAAGGAGAAATCAGAGTTTCTCTGTTTTTTTTGGAATTCTTATATTATTAAATTTTCACACAAAAAAAATTCAATATTGAACTCAAAAATCTTTGTACTTTTTCAGTTATGACAAATCTTCTGTAGATTGATATTATGTGATAGTTTCGCTTTTCCATTGGAACTAATTCTTCTCTAACAAGTAATGGGAAAAATTATAGAATCGGACGATAATTGATGAAAATCCCTAATGTAGACAGACAGATTTAATTTAACCATGTTATGCAAACAATACATTTATGACAGGTCAAAAAGAGTAGTCTGATTGGGTGGAGAATATACTTTCTTTTTATGGATCTCTAACAAAGTGTTTAAAATAAATATACAAGGCAAAGGCAGAATTTTGTAAAAGATGAAGATAGGTTGACATGGTTCGTTGAATGAAGCTCCAGCTATTATTCTAAGTGCGTTTTTTTGCATACGGAAAATCGTTCGAGAATGAGAGGATTTTCCCCATAAGAGAGTTCCATACATTAAATTGGAGTGAAATAGTGAGTAATACGCAGTTAGTTAGTATTGGTACTTTTAAATCTTTTCAGCTGATAGAAATAGAGCCACAATGAAGTGTTTTTTTAATAAGTGATGGAAAAAAAGGTTGGAAATCAACAATTTAGTTCAAGATTTTCTCCACATATTGAAATAGTCTCCAAGACGATGATGATTGAAAATATTATATAGATACGTAAACCGTATTTTGGTGAAGCATATTTTCATCTACTTTATGGAAGAAAAACAATGAACTGTCAAAAGATCAAGATTACTAAGAATACTAACTGGGATTCCATTTGCTCAACTGCGTCATGTTAAATAAAAATATTCATCTATACTTACTTTTTCCTAGGTGGACACAGAGGGTACATCCAATTGTTTTTCAACTCATGACTGGAATGAAAACAAATATTAATAGTAGAAGTCAAAGTAATGAAAACTGTATCGAGGAGAGATACATACATTTCGAAATGATATTTCGAAACGATAATCTCTCCCAACTACCTACGCGGTACGTTTTGGTAAATGCCTGCCGAAAAACAACTACTTTCCCGGCTGATCCCACGTTGGATACTGAATTATATCCGACAGTTCCAAACCGTTCAGTAACTTTTCAAAAAAATTTCTAGTTACGATATAATAGTTTTTCGGTTATTTTGAAGTACATTTTTTCAAATGTCCCTCTTTAAAAAAGCAAGAGGTTGATCAGGTGTTTTTGGCAGCTATTTTAAAATTTCTATTTGGTTGATTATAAGAGAAGTCAATTAATTAATTCATAATTTCAATACCTAAGTGCTTGATACATTCTCCAGTTGGTAACAGCTCCTCCACATTGGCTGCCTTTCAATACATTTATATATACAGTTCCTTCTAATATCTCTTCGTTCATAAGCAACCCTTTGATAAGATCATCTTTCGATTGAAAATCGAAATTATCGGAGAACAATGGTAATACTGATGGCGAACATATGGCAATGTGGGTATCTTTCATGTTGTAATGTAACGAAAGACATGGATTGTCTAGGAGGATGTCCTGAAATTGAATTTTTGCCATTCAAAAAATTGAATATTACGGTGAGGTCAATGAAAAAGGACACTGACGTCTCTACTGCTTTGAACAACCTAACGTCTCGATGAAGAATTGCTTTCATTTTTCATGAGAGCTCTATTTGAATGCAAACAATAACTAGTATGTGTTTCATCATAATTTTTATTGATAACAAATGTGTATTGATTGCCTCAAGTATATTTCAAAACTCACCAAAGGAAACTTTATATTCTTTTCCCTTATTTTTCCAAGTTTCTTGTGAAATAATATCCTTTTATCAGGATCTACTAAAACCAGCATTTCCTCTTCAGGACATCTTCCAATATATCCAACTCCTGCCTCTTGTAGTACTAATGTCATGGCAGCATATTTGTCGTTTTTTGTGGTCTCACTGAAAGTTCAGATCGAAGTAAACACTGGCCAAAAATTATCATGAACCAACCTGTGTCTTTTCAACAATGGCAACAGTTGCACATTGGAAATTGTACCAGGTTCTATTAATACAAAGTCGCCCCTCAATAGTCCTTTCGCATCCAAATCACGTAGACAGTCTCCAAGAGAATGACATGATTCAGAAGCTATTATATTCACCTTCATGGTAACAGTCCAACCATCCATATTTCTAATACATTTACTGAAAACAGAAAATTAACTGGATTAGTGCATATTCGCATAACTCCTATTCATTACTAACTCAATATGTTCTCTGATGGATTCGACATGTGTGCAACAGAATAAGAATGTTTCTTCTATTCCTCCGAGGGACAAAAATTCCAAGGTGTAATCCACTAAAGGTCTGTTGAGGATTGGTAAAAGGGCCTGAAAAGGACATTGTTATTATCGCAATGTTTTTATTTGTTTGAATTGTGTTACCAGTGGTATTGTATCTGAGACGGGAACAAATTCATCTCCAAAAGTGTCTGCAACCACTATAGCCTGCACAGCGTTTTCTTTGCAAACAATTTCTTTGTTTTTACTCGACATATTATCTTACAAAATATTATTTTCTTAATTTAGAAATTTTTGATTGCACGTCTTCTTACGGCGGACATACACAAACAACCAGAACGTTCTCCATTCACTAAACAATTATTAAAGCTTTGCTTACACGTGCTCATGACACTGTCACAATTCAGCATCGTGCTGTGTCACTTCTGTGTGTGACACTGTCATATACTGTGCGTACTAAGCGTACTTAATCTGTGACTGTCTGTGCTTATGACGATGGCGACACGAGACACGAGCTTCCGTTCTCTCAACAATTAGCCCAGTCCAATTAGGATTTGTCAACATGCCATGAACAAATTTTAACTAGCAATTTTTTTTCGGAATTCTTGGGGATGCAGTGTATATTTGAGTTCCTGACCTCAGAGTTGGTTCGTTTTCGAGATAGAGAGCGGAGAGCGCGCGGTTGAAGCATAATTTAAGGTCAACCGGTAGTCCCGGTCACAAACTCACCATATTAAGTTTATTAATTATTTATAAATACATATAATCATTGATAATTTTCATTGCTTATTAACTATTACATATTTCCTGGAACCTATCACGACTATTTTAGCACCTGCTCTAAAGGAATTGCTCAAAACCATTTTCTGTGGATGCGGGAAATATGGGTTGCAGTGTTCTTTAGCTTGTAGCCGGTGTTCTCGGCAAGCTTTTCTCAATGCTCTACCAGTCTACCATATCAGAGCGATGAAGACAGAACCTTTGACCCCAAAATCTTGGAAGACCTGTTCAAATGTCTTTGAAGACGATAAACAAGACTTGTATTTTTTGATTATTCGGAACTGAATTTAACCAATTGAAATTTGAAGAATGAGCATTGAATATCTCCATTCACTTTGATGTTTAGCGACTTTATTTCTTAGGAAGGAAAGAAATAGATTGATATTAAGAGTTCTAGAATTGATTTGAAAATGGCGACCATAAAAAGTGAATAAATTGTATTAAAAAAATGAAATCATTAGAAGTTGGAATTTTCATTTTTCCAAGTGAAATCTTCAGTCTCACTTTCGACATGATTTTTGCCTGATTTTCTTATGAAATGACTGAAATTTTAGAATAGAGACAAAATGTGATTGTAGACTGGCAGACCTTTAAATTTTAAAGGCACATCTCTTTTTGATGCTATACTCTTTCACAGGAATCGTTTCACTTTGTTGATAAATAATTTTGATGGACATTCTCAACACACGAACCATTACGTTTTGTTTCACATAGTTTCTTAGATTTCTAAATTTTAATCATAACAGATGGTTCTAACCTAAAACCAACTCTCGTGTCCTATATGAGATGAAAACAAAAGTGTTTGTATTGTTAAAAAACCTGAAAATAATTATCAATAATCCATACTTTCTTTCCTAATCTTCAAAATGACTACAGAAAAGGTAAAACTTAAGCAAATCGAATTTGGCTACAGAAAATCATTCCACCAATCTTTCACAAATGGGTATTTTGAAAATTTATTAATTTGCAGATACTTTTTCGACTTGAACAGCCTCACGGCTCCGGAGACATTTATATCGCCTGGCAGAAAGGTTCGGGAATGTATCTGGCGACAACAGGCATCGATTCTATGGTTAACATTTTCGATCGCTACGGAGAAGTTCAAGAACGGATAAGACTGCCAAGCCTCTGCACTGGATTCTCTTGGGATTGCGAGGGCGACATCCTAGCTATCATATGTCAGTCTTCTCAGTTGATATTGTGGGATTCGAATACTACCAAGAAGAACATTGTAGATGTTGGTTTGAAGGATACAATGACTTGCTTGGTATGGGCAAAAACGACTGCGATATTAGCCATGGGTAGTTCGAAGGGAAATGTCTCGATTTATAATCATAATACGTCAAAGTAGGTATTCTGGTATTTAGTACATGAGAGTTTACTTCTTAATTAACATTTTGAATGCTAGTTGTATCCATAGTGAAACAGAAGAAACATAAATAGCTGAAACTGAGAACATATGTTTGAGACGAGTGTATCAAAGTGAAAAAAAGTTTCACCTATATAACATTTTCGAGAGGAACAAGGTATACTATAAATAAATTATTTCTTTGTTTCATTCGTATTTCCAGATTTTCACAATTTATTTTTACAATAGTACATTACAGTTTTGTGAAATCTATATTGAGGAAAAAATATTATCGATCAAAATTCGGATACATCCATGGCTTTCAAAATGTTAATTGATGTTATATTTATCGATAACTAATTAGTTATTATTTTACAGACGTACCCCTATATTAGGAAAACATTCGAAGAAAATAACTTGTGGAGCTTGGAACAGTGATAATTTGTTAGCCCTAGGTTCTGACGACAAAACCATTTCTGTCAGTAATGTTGATGGGGACACTCTGAGAGTAGTAAATTTGAGAGCTGAACCCTCAGAAATTCATTTTTCAGAAATGAAAACGGATGAGAGAGTTGGTGGTGAGAACACAGTAAGCCTGTAGAAAATGTTTTATTCACTGGAAATGCAATTTGAATTCAATACATACATTGTATGTATTCATCTCGGAAAACAGCAACCAACCCAATTGTTTTTAGGGGTAAACAATCTGGGAAATTCAGAGATAACAAGCAAATAAAAACCACTCATTTCATAATTTTATTATTGCTGTTTATTATTATTTATTTTAACATGGGAACTATTTTAAATGTGTTATCATTTTTATATATCAATACTCAACCTTACTTTCATTATAATAATAATCTCTTTATTTACTAACGTTTTCCTCTTTTTCATTTGTATTTCTGCTCCTGTGGTTATACATATCAATCTTAGTAAATAAAGAGATTATACTTACACACATATATACATATACACACATATGCATACAAACATACAACATACACAGATGTATACCACATAGATATAATACACATATACACACATATAGTATTGGATTACAGATAAAAGTCATCAATACTGTAGCAGTTCTTTCATCAGAAGAAGTTGCTTCAGTCTTAATTTAAAGATGTGTACATTTTCAGAATTTCTGATATTGTTGGGGAGTTTATTAAAAAGTTTGCAGCCCTGAAACTCAAAACTTTTATTGGAAAGAGCAGTGCGATGTTGACTAGGTAATACTAAGTGGGCATTCCAAGTTGAGTGATTATGATAGGCTCTGTTAGCAGCTAATGTGTTTCTATTTCGATAGATATATGTGCAAGCTTCCATTATATATACTCCTGCTATCGTTAATATTTTCAAATTCTGAAAAGTTTCTCTACAGGAATCTCTATAGCCCAACTTAGTAATGATCCTAATAGGATACTTTTGTATACAAAACACACGAGACACGGTAGAGGATGTGCCCCAGTTGAGAATGCCATATCTAAGATGCGAATTGAAGTTTGCGTAATAGACAGTTAATAAAATACTTTGACCACAATGCTGGGAGAGAAACCTAAGAGAATAACAGGCTTTTCTAAGTTTATTACATAAGTGGTCAATATGTGTCCTCCATTGAAGTTTGTCATCAAAAACAACACCCAACATTTTTGTTGACTAGGTTAGGTTCAATTCTAGAGCAGTATCAACAAACAGATTCAACCCTTATTGTTGTCCGGTATTCATCTTGAAATTTAACAAGCTAGTTTTGGCTTCATTCAAGATTAAATTGTTTTTCTTTGACCACATTATAACTTTTTTGTAGGTCTCAAGAGCTGTGTTTTTCGCGGAGTCCATATCGTTTTCAATAATTAATATATTAGTATCATCAGCATAACACGTACAGTGAATGGCCGAGTTCTTATTTAGGTACACTGATAAGTCATTGGCAAAAGCTAAATACAAGAAGGGTCCTAGAATGGATCCCTGTGGTACCGCATCCTCAATATTTCTTTCAGTACTTAGACTTTTTCCAACTTTGACTACTTGCCTTCTCTTATATAAGTATGAGTTTAGTAAGGATAGGGGTATTCCTCTTACACCATATCTTGAGAGTTTGTCGATATTTTAATTTTGTGGCTTGCTATAAATTTGCAGCTGTACAATGTAGTCAAATAAACTATTCAATTCTTCTTCTATTCTTATTTCGTTTTATATTTTAGATCAGCCTGTTGGTTGGAAAGAAAACTTTGTACCTATACAATATGGTAGATCCAGAAAATCCCATCGAACTAGCTTTCCAACCCCATTATGGTGCAATCATAAACTATAAATGGTTTGGAGATGGATATATTTTGCTGGGATTTACAGCAGGCTATTTCATTGCGATTTCTACTCACATCAAAGAAGTAGGACAAGAATTGTTCCAGATCCGCAACCACAAGAATTCCCTGACAGATATAGCCATATGTGAGGTAACTGACAAGGCAGCATCCTGCGGTGATAACACGTAAGATACTCCAGAGAACCGTACTTTGTACTTCTTGTACATTTTTCAGTGTTAAAATTCATGACTTGACCAATTTGCAAGAAACATCCAGTGTATTGACATTGGCACAGGAAGCGGGTATTGATCGTATCGCTTGGAGCACTGATGGACAGCTTCTAGGTGTTTGTACTAGAGGGGGTTCTCTAAATGTTTACGTATCATTCATGCCTGTTTTGACGTCTGTTTGTCCGCCAAGGATCGCTATTCTTTCTAGTCTAACAGAAGTGAGCCTGTATAACTACAGTTCAGATAAGGTAAGAGTTTTCTCAGTTTGACAATATATAAGAGTTACCTCTAGTTTTTGTTTTGTGACAGCCAAATTTGTTTTTTGTATTATGGTCTCTTCGCAACTCAAGCTTCTGTTTTACAACCATTTCAACAGTAGTAGTTTCAGATTCCACAGACCAAGCATCTTCTATTCATTATTGAACTTACAGGATGATTCAAACAAATGTCCTACATTTGCTCTTCTGAATAAACAATTATAATATATTTGAGAGCCTCAATAGCTATCCATAATTGAGCGAATATATGGAATTAACAATTCTCTCAGGTCTTGTAGATATAGTATGTATTATTTATATTTTTATTTGCTTTTTCATGGATGGAGATGAAAAACCCATGTGTTCGAGGGGCAAGCAAAGGAGAAAATGTACAAAGTCCTTATCAATCTATAAGTTTCCCCGTATTTTAGTAATTCATTTGAAATGATTCTCTCCGACGGAAAGGTTCAGAGGCAAATTGAATGTTTCCATTGACTTTTCTTCAGATGGATTAGATATGAGCAGTTATGCAGCAGACAATGTGGCTCCTTGTCGTTATAATCTATATGCACTTTCAAATCACAGTGGGACTACTTACAACGGACATTACACAGCATATTGCAGACACCCATTTAATGGCACGTGGCATGAATACAACGATTCACACGTGTTCCCAATTTCGCCAAAATCACTTGTGAGCAATGAGGCATATGTCCTCTTTTACGAACAGGAGGAATCAAAGCAGCACCTTTGATGTGATTTTTTTTTTCTTCTTTCCTTTTTTTTATAATCTTAGTTCTTTGAATTGATTTGTACTTCATGATTGTTCCAAATTTCATTATTTATTGTTCAAAATTGAAAATTTTTATGTGATTTTTTCCTATACCCACTCATTTTATCTATATTTGACATATGTTTATTTTTCAACTGATTAGTAAAGGGTTTTTCTACTTTTGTAAATATTTTGTATATTTAAAAAAGCACTCTTTAACAATTCTTTTTCCTAACGTGCTTCGTCAATAAGAACTTGATTTCTTGGACAATAAAGTATATTTCTTTCTCTCTCTCCTTCTCTCTCATCATCGACATGTCATTTGAATCCTTTTTTACATTTTTTGAGGTATTGACTGAAGATGGCAACTCAGAATCTCATACATGAAACTTTTTAGACAGGTTTACATGTCTTTTACACTCAATGTCATCCAATTCTGGATTTTTTACTACATACATAACATTTCCTATTTTTATTACTATAATTGCTCTTATCCGTTCGACGACACCTTCCTTCCTGTAATCATGAAAGGTTTCTCTTGAGTTATGTAACGTGCTTTTTTCAAATTCGTTCTGTTACCCGCTAGAAGATTATCAAAACGTGTATGAAAATTTATATTGAACAATAGTTTTGCCAGACTCATCTTGGCGGTTGAGTACAACGTGGAACGATAATCATTTAAAAAATTATTCAAAATCGGAATTGAATTACCATTTTCATCTCTTCCCAATGTATTCTTCAACGTATTCTTGACGGTTTCTACAGCATTTTCCGCCGCTCCATTGGATGATGGGCGAAAAGGTGGAGACGTGATATGCGAGATATTATTATTTAAAAAAAATGTTTCGTGAATATGATCTAAAAAATTCTAAGAGTTGGTGTGTGAGGTAAGACATGATACGGATATAGTTGCTACACATTCCTCTACTGAGTAGAAACAGTGATCTAGTAAATAATTTTTCAATTTAGCTTTGAAACTCTGTTTACTTGGGTTTTTCTGATTTTCAGGTGATATATTATAAAGTTTGATGTCCAGAGAATATATCTCGAATATACTTATTTAAAGAACTTGATAAATATGCCCATTTTATTTATTTATTTATTTATTTTTATTTATTTATTTATTTATTCACGGGTAACTCCCATTTAATATAAGTTATACGAATATCAGATTGTTAACACAAATCTTATCTAATTTAATTATAAATAATAACTAATTATAATTATAAATAATAAATAATTTAAACAGTTATATTAGAGAATTGGAATGAAGCGAGAATAAAAGTAAATGACAGATACTAGCAATTTAAGAATAAGTATATCTTAACTTATTTCTAAGAATATCCTCGGAAATATGAAAGAGATCGTATTTTGTATTATTCCCGTTTGTGACTATTCTTGATAAAGGAGAATGCATTCCATAGTTACACCTATGGTAATCTATTGCAAAGGTTAGATTATTTCGTGTTTTTCTAGAGGGAACATGAAGATTCGCTTGGACAAGAAGAGTTGAACAATTAATTCTAAAATTAAGCAATTTATGGAGGAATATAATATCTATATGTTCTCTGAGTAAACTAAGTTTCGGTAAACCAGTTACAGACCGAATTTCTGAAAAAGAGTGATCACTGAGAGGTATAGACAACTTAAAGACAATATATTTTATAAATTTGTTTTGTACTTTCTCTATAGTGTACTTATGAATTTCATAAGTTGGTGACCAAACACAGCTACAATATTCTGTAATCGATCTAACCAAAGCGAAATACAATAACTTGATAGAATTAATGTTGGTGAAGTCTTTTGTAGTCCTGCATACAAAGCCTAACATTTTCATTGCTTTGCTAGAGATCTTTTCATACTGCAGGAGAAAATCCATTTTGACATCCACCACTACACCAAGATCTCGTATGGATTTCACCAATTCTAATAGTTTGCCGGCTATAGTATACATATTGTTGTAATGAGTAAGTGATCTAGAAAAAGACATACTTTTGCATTTAGACACATTCACGTCCATATAATTGTCTACACACCATTCAGTAAAAGATGTAATGTCATTCTGAATATGTTCGTAGTCAACTGTGGATACAATGGTTTTGAATATTTTCAAGTCATCAGCAAACATTAATACTTCAGAATGACTAATTTTGGTTTTGATATCGTTGACAAAGATATTAAATAGGAATGGCCCTAAATGGCTTCCTTGTGGAACTCCTGAGCTAACCGAGATTTGTTGAGATGTAAATCCTTTAATTTTTACAACTTGTGTTCTGTTACATAGATAATTTGTGAGCCATTTCAATAAATTCCCAAAGAAACCGATTGCCTCCAATTTTGCACCGAGAATCCTGTGATTAACTGTGTCAAATGCTTTGGAAAAATCTGTGTATATCACATCCACTTGCTGTTTTTTCTCCAAAGCATTTAAGATATACTGAGAGTAGAGCAACAGATTAGTATTGGTCGATTTGCCCTGGCAAAAACCATGTTGCTCATCAATTATAACCTGATTCAGAGGGGTCTTTATATCATCGCATATGATGCTTTCCATCAATTTAGGTATAGCACTCAATATGCTAATGGGGCGAATATTTTTTATGTTTGCTCTGTCTCCAGACTTATATATAGGCGTTATGTAACTCGATTTCCATACAAGAGGGACCTCACATTTTTTCATTGCAAGGATAACTTATAATTATTAGTGTCTAATGATAAAACTTAATAAAACACTTCTGTACTGAACACATCATCATCCAAACCCCAAACATTAAATGCTTCACTTTATAACAGTTCAGACGTGGTTCAGACGCTGTTTCGACAAGCGCACATATCCCATGACGTCACACTAGCTTTTGACAAACGCTCAGTTTTGAAGCCGTGTAACTTGATAACGGTAAATGCTGTTGATCTCAAATTTTTTCTGTTCTATTCGAGATGACAAGCACTATCAAAATATATAAAAATATGTAAATAAAAAATGTTTCTCAAAGTACGTTGAGAATCCATAGATGTATCAGAGTATTATTTTCAGACAAAACTGAAGCCCATTCCTGTCACGCTGGAACTAGAGCCTAGTTTCATAGCAGTAGGCCAGTACCATCTAGCGGCGGGCATGAATAACAGCGTTTGGTTTTATGATCTGACGAAATCTCAACCTGGTAATGAAGAGGCCCCTCTCAAACTCAAAGGGAGGCAGTATATAGGAGCAGTGTCCAGTATGAAGCTGAATTCTGAATATGCCTGTGCATTATTTGAGGGACGACTTCAGCTTCATTTGGTATGTATAAAGAAAAGTAAGATGAATAATTCTCTGTTCTGAAGAAAGCTCATTCAGTCTCGATAGTTTTTCTAGAAACATTCAGTACCTAGAATGTTCAGGTGGCATTGTGTATTTCAGTCCACGATGTACTGAACTGAAAGCGAATTCAGAAAGCGAATTGAAATACTGGATTTCAGGAGTTATAATTTTGTTTTCATGAATTCTCATTTGCTTCATTCGTTATTAATGAAATTCTTACATTGATACCTAGTTAACCGATATTAATGCAAAGATATCCAAAAACCCATTTTGCTCACCACTTTTTTTTCTAAAGGCAACGCTGCTATACGTTTAAAATGTTGAATTTAATTTTATTATACATTTATAATTGCTCACTGGATTATTTTGAGTCCTTCACATTTTTTAACAGATCGAACCTTCCGAAGCTAGTCAAGAGGAGAAGGAGTCTATTATCTTCCCTGATAGCAATACTGAATCAACAGTGATTACTTGTCATGAGTTGACAACAGATTTTCTGATTTACGCGACAAACACGGGTCAACTTGTGTATTTTTATTTGGAAGATTGGACAAAGGCCATGGAGTTCAAACATATTGTAGGAATCGCAAATATTTATGTCGATCCTGCCGGCACTAGATTGATATTTATCGATATCAAAACTAATGGTTATGTTTTCAATGCTGTGAGTATAGTTTAGTATATGAAATGATTCAGTTTACTATTTCAGGATATGGCATGTTCATTCAAAACACTTATAATTGTAACGTGTGTTGAGTGTATATGATACAGGGTGTCTAAAAGTTATGAATTCATCTAATTATGGTAAAAATTATTCTCATCAATTTTTCTGTACCGGATATGGTCAAACTTCGAATGGAACACCCTGTATATTATATAATTATCTCAGCGCATCTCTTCATAAAATCTATGGGTACACTATATGGTATTTCTAATATTCTAAAAATTAATTCACAAAAAACCTTAAAAAAAAGTCCAGAAAATTGAATTGTACCTTTCAGAAACTGTGTAAATGTACAAAATTCAGAACATCTTCGGGAAAACTGAAAGATTTTCTCCAACTAGTCTGAATTTCAAATACTTGTGCCATCAAACTAAAAAAATCTGTTGGCTAGCTGTATGGGCTCTAAGTTGTTCAATTCTTTTGGAGGTTTCAATGGAAACAGTACCTATACCGTCACTGCCAAACAAGGTGCTGGGAATAACATGGGACAGCAACATCACCGACAGAAACATTTTCATTGTCCATGAGGAACAAGAAATTTCCACTTACATCTACGTCAAACATTCAATTGATGGTAAATAAAAATCTTTCCGCGGATTCCACCCAATGAATTCACTGATTTGTAGGTTCTTTTGTGAAAAGGATAGGCCAGACTGCCTTGGTTACCAAGCAGACGCCTTTGTTGATGTATGCAGGTGAGGTTATGTCTGGTACTTCTAATGGGCAGTTGGCTCAGCTGTCATTGAGCACTCATGACTCCGTGCAAATTGGTATAAATGGGAGGGATCCAGTTGTTTTGGAAACTAATTTCAACAAACAGTTGGCTCTACACAGGTGAGTTAGAGAAATGTAAAATATTTCAGAGTATCAATTAACCTCTTTGTTGAAAAAGCATTTTTTTCTTCTTTTTTTTTGTATTCCCTGGTAAGTGACAGTCAGAATATCGATAGTAATAACTACAGTACAGTATTTCACCTATTTTCCAATTGTTTTTCTAATGACTCTTCATATTTAGGAATTTCTGTTGGATATACAGGGCTTTTCATGATGACCGGTAATTAGCCGTTTCTGACTAACTATTTGACGGATCAACCTGAAAATTTCACAGTATGTATAAATCAATATGACCTACACGCCTAAAATATTTCAGACGAAGCGGCGTTGTCGCTTCTACTATAAAGTAGCGGCTTCTTTGATTTTTCAAATGGAACACCCCGTATATAATATCATATTATGATTCAATATTACTTTATCAACAAATTCATATACTATTTCCCTATACCTATCTATTACCGTTTAGAAGATATAAATCAATTTCGATATTTTTTTTTACCAAACATGAACTTTTATAAATGCTGATAATCTTGAACTCTCTTGCACTAAAACGATCAAATTTGAAATGGAGTGGAGTGATACTATGAGGATCTTCACTCCAAGTCATATTTTCATTTGCCTTATACAGGGTCTTCAAAAAATGCAGATACTTTGATCTCATGAAAAAAAGGGTGGAACTCAATTTTTTCAAATGGAACACCCTGTATATTTCAACATTTTTGAGCTCTACATCCAATTTTAGATTAACTTTGTTCACATAATTTCTATTTCTGTGGAATTTTCAGGTTGATCCGTTGAATAGTTTGCGAGAAACGGTTAATTAACGCTCATCATGAAAAGCCCTGTATAGGAAATTCCAGAAATATGATGATACATATACCAGATAGATTGGTGAATTTTAACTGTTAATGTTCAGTAAATAGGATGTTAGGTTAAAGCAATATTTTTATACTATGTCTGTTTCTGATGTTGTTACTAAAACATATAACAAACAACCATATAAATATGGTTTATGTTGAGCTACCGTGTTAGGAATCACACGTTAAAAGGTAAGACCTCGTTAGTCCTTAGCTCGAACAAGTTTCTCAACTTCTGAGAGTTGTCATTCGTATGGGGGCGACAGCTGATTAACGGAAAAACAGATTTTAAACAGATTTTTTTTTATTTAACTTACTAGTAGTAATTTGGAAAAAAGCAAAGTCAACAGTTGAAACTCAAAACAAAGCCTATCATAGAGATCTCTTTTCAATCTTCGCTGATCATAAGGTACAATAATGATATACTCACAAATGTTAGCCATAAACTGCATCCTTGGTATGGATCGCACGTTAAAATGTAAGACCTTTTCAATCCCTAGCTCGCACAAGTTTCGACTTATGAGGGTTGTCATTCGTAGTGGGCGACAGCTAGTTAGGAAAAAAGCCGATTTTAACAGTTCCATTCGCTGATTACAGATAGTAATATCTTAAAATGATCTATAAGATATTCGACTTTGATCAGCATATAGTCTATATGAAGTCAATCCTAACAGCTAAATAAGAGACTAATGTAGCCGGTCTGATGAATTTACTAGTTAATACCATATAAAACCTTCCACATAAAACTATGAGACCATATAAATTATACCACGCCGCCCATGCCATACAAAAAAACTGCCGATGTTCGGTAACTATTTACTTTTTATGCCATTTGAATTGACTTCATATGTGCCATAAATCTTGGCTCACAAATGCTGACTTCTTCAACCAGAGTAAAACTATTTTTATAAACTTTGTTTTGAACGTTTGTATGACAATAGCAAATTGTTATCCTATTTTGCTCTGAATTTGGAGAAGAGATGAAGGAAAGAGTGAATTCTATGAAAATATTGTGTTTAATATAGGTTACAAAGTTATACTTACACAATAAGAAATATTTTCAGCTAAGAACTAAGTCTTTGCTTTGTTGCTACTTTAGTGCATAAAAACTAAATGTAATCAGACCCATGTCAACATTTTTTCACTCTTAGCTATTTCTATAGTAAAATAATCTATATAGTAGACAAATATTGTCGTAGACAGTGTCAGTTAACAGTGAATAAAATTTAAAGACCTTTTCTGACCTACCAATACGGATGTCTCATACTAGTATGTGCTTTGAAACGAATTTTGAAAGTCTACCGTGTTTGCCCAATGTCATCCTTTATCACAATATGTTGAATAAATCTCTTTGAAAATATTTCAATTTCTCCAAATGATTGTATTTCAAACAATATACTGGGTATTTTGGAATACTGCCTGTGAGAGTCTAATTATTATTAATTCATTATAGATTTAATTCCGCATTTGAAACAAGTATTCTGCTGAAGTCTGCGGAACTTCAAAGGAGGTTAGCAGCAGAAACACTCAAATATTTGGAAATCGAAACAGGTGAGATATTTTTCGAATTTATTATGGGGTATGATTTGCATAACTTGAAATTTGAAGGGAAAAACTGTTTAATTAAATATTCAGTAGAAGATGCTATTTTTATTAAAAAAAAGATTGAATAGAAGAATACCAGTTGCTTTCAACTGGATATATGTGTACTGTACATGTCATTATTTTTCACTGTGTATTGTCGATTTCTCTTAGTTCTCATCCAAAGGAATATGAAATCATCAAGTTACCTCTGATCAATAATAACCTATTACTGATGTTTTTTTTTAGCCTTGAGAATCTACAAATACTTAGAGGATGTCGCCATGGTTTGGAATTTAGAAAGTATATCTGACATTGAGGACTACAAACTTTTGTGTGGATACATGTCAATGTATTTGAATGAGTATGATAAAGCCCAAGAGTGGTTTCTGCAATCAAGCCATCCAGAAGCAGCGTTGGATATGCGAAGAGATCTGTTGCAGTGGGATCAGGCGCTTCAGCTGGCGAAAAGAATGGCACCTGAACAAGTAGCGATGATTTCTAGAGAGTATGCTCAGCAGCTGGAGTTTGTGTAAGTAATAAAAACAATAACGTTGATTGACAAATCTATTTGAATAATAGTTCTCTACAAAAATAATCTAGATGTTCTCTCTTGTGATGAATGGTTGTTGCTTGATCAATATCTAGATTTTGAAAGAAATGCTTGTAAAGGGGTTCGCGTTACTCAATAATATTTACAAGCAAAAGTTTTTTTGGTGAGAGCTGGGTATAAATTCATAATTTTGATCAGCAATGTCGCAAAACTCAAAAGATGTTTATTTTTGTGATGAAGTATTAGGTTGTTTCAAAAAGTTTGCCCTTTTTCAACACGCTTTTATTAGCTTCACCTGTATGAATGTATGTATGTATGTATGTTTGTTTGTTTGTCAGTTTGTTTGTAACTCCAGAATTATCGACATTATTGCTTGATCTATATAAAAGTTTTATACTGCTCTCTAGTCAGATCCATTGTTGAATACAATACCATAATTTGGAATCCATACTATGACAAGTATATCTATCCATCAAATAGAAAATGTACAAAGAAAATTTCTGAAAATCATAGCATACAAACTAGGTCTAGTTGTTGGTGAATATAACTACAATGAAGTAATGAACTTGATGAGTCTACCTAGTCTAAGTGATCGCAGGATTATGATATCATTATTGTTTGATCTATTCGCGGGCAGATGGCGTTAAACGTAACCTCCTTGATATATCGACATTATTGCTTGATCTATTCGCGGGCAGATGGCGCTGTACGTAATCTCCTTGATAAAACTCGAATTCACTTTACATATATTTCTTTCGATATAGAAAATAATGTATGACATGTTAATAGTATGTAAAATTTCCCAATATAATTGCCGTGAGGCTATATGTCCAAATTTATCAGTTGAAACATATCTGGACACGAAAGATGAAGACACTTGTTTCATGACATTTAATTATTCGAAGTAGAAGATTCATTTTGAATAAAAAATTAACAATTTTTCTTCTATGAATTCAAATTATTTGCCTTTATTGAATGTTAGTTATTAGTATTTACTTTTAAACTGTACTATGAGTGTTCACATCTGTTCAAAAACAATTTTTGTATCGAATAAGATATTGCTTATGTTATAATAATAATAATATTTATTCATCCTTAAAAACGTTGACAAACGTATAGGATAGGTCAGTATTAAGCACATAAAAATCACATCAAACGATAAAATTGTAGATCAGTAGATAAAAATAATACAATAAAAATTTATACAATAAAAGTCAGAAATACAAAAATTAAAACAATTGTAGTTATAAAAATTGAATATGTCATGCCAAAGCCGCATGAACTCATTCAGTCGAGATGGTCCGAGAGAAATTCACCAATACTATAGTAGACCTTAGAAAGAAGCAATGTTTTAACTGCTTTTTTAAGTGCTACAGTGTTCATCTGTTTGAAATGGTCTGGTAACCGATTGAATAATTTTATTCCCATATATTTGGGAGAATGTTCAAATTTTATAGTTTTATGTTTAAGAATGCTCAACTCCTCTGCATATTGAGTTGGGTAGCTATGATAGAATGAGTTTTTAGTACAGTCTGTTATACATTAGCGAACATATAAAAGTATTTTAAAGATGTAGATGCAGGGAAAGGTTAAAATTTGATGACTAATGAAAAATGTCTTGCATGATTCCCTCCAAGGGATGCCTGGTAATTTCCTAGTAACTTTTTTTTGAGCAATGAAAACCCTATCTTTGTCAACACTGTTTCCCCATAGGACCACATTACAACTTAGGTGGCTATAGACCAGACTGTAATATACATCTAAAATGGCGTGTAAAGGCATACAATTCCCAATTCTTGAGATTGCATAATACCCTTGATTGATTTTTTTTTATACAACTGTGATATGGTCAGACCACTTCAACCAGTTGTCTACATCAACGCCAAGGAATTTTGTACAGCTTGTGCATGCCAGTGCCATTCCATTAATTAGTAAGGCAAGCGATTGCTTTTTCAGATCGTTTTTTAAATTAAAATAGATTTATTTTGTTTTGGTCAAGTTTACAATCAGATTGTTCGTTTCACACCAATTTAAGAACAGTGATATTAGTTCCTCTGTTTTTGATTTCAATTCCTCCTGACTCTCTGCTGATACAGCTAAAGACGTGTCATCTGCAAAAAGAGTGAGAGCATATTCATTACAGGTGAAATAAGTAGGCAGATCATTTACAAACAACAGAAAGATTAGTGGACCTAACACAGAGCCTTGCGGAACTCCAGAACATATATCATGATAGTCTGATTTCATATCTTTAATCTTGACGAACATCATACGATCTATAAGAAAGTCAATGATCCATTCTAGGAAGTCCGCTCTAAATCCTAGATTATATAATTTGCTCTCGATTAATTTAAAATTTAAACAATCGAACGCACGTGACAGATCGAAGAATACTCCTGCAACATGCTTACCACTATCTAAAGAAGCGTATCTCCAAGTTGCTGATTGAGTGGACTTGCCTTTGCAAAAACCATGTTGAGAATCGGACAGGATCTTAAACCTCTTAATATTCTCTCATTCACAACCTTTTCAAAGATTTTTGAGAAAATGCCTAGCAGGGCCACGGGGCGATAGTTTGTAATATCTGATGTATCGTTCTTCTTATGAACTGGTATGATCATGGCTGTTTTTAGAATTGAATAGATTCAACAAATAAGCTAAATGTTTTGAAATGTGTAACTTAATTTCTTTTAAAATTCTCACTGATATATTATCAATTCCTGTACTTTTTTTATTTTTTAGACTGTTAATTACTGCGTCAATTTCACATTCGTTAAGGGCATAAAAAAAGTATTCGATTCAATTCCAGAAAGCGCGCATACGGATGATCTATTGTCGCCATAATAGTCTGCTAAGCTATTTTCTACCACTGAAGAGAAATAGTCCCCAAATATGTTCGCAACATGATCTCTATCTGTGATTACTTTATTATTATAATTGAGAGTAATATCTCTTTGAATTTTTTTTCTGTTTCTTTGTTGACTAGGTTCCAAACTGTTCTGTTTTTATTGTTGGAATTCTCAATTACATTTTCGTAAAAATTCAACTTTGAAGCTTTTATTAATGATTCATAGTCTTTCTTCGCTTTTTTGTATGCAGCACGAGAATCTTCGTTGCCTGTATTTTTACATAACCAATGCATACTTTTCAAATCAAGACTGGCCTGTTTCACTTCAGAAGTTATCCAGTTATGTTTGTTACTAGTGGACGATTTGTGTTTTTTTGGTTGGACAACATTTATCGCTAGCATCGCTGAAAATCGGCATTTGTTCATGGATAATCACAGTGATTGAATATAACTTCCCATTTTATTGTTACGGTATATATCCATATATGTGGATTTCGTGAGGGAAAGTCTACTTGTAGATAAGATTATTCACATCACAGATGAATTTGAGAAAGGAAATGTGACACTAGCATCTTTTTTGGACCTTTCCAAAGCTTTTGATTGTGTGTCACATGAAATTCTTTTAATGAAATTGGAAAGTTATGGTGTCAGAGGAAATGCTTTTTCATTTATTCAGAGTTATCTTACAAGCAACGGAAAGGTATCATCCAAAAGGGAAATTACATGGGGGGTTCCCCAGGGTTCAATCTTAGGTCCCATACTATTTATTATTTATGTTAATGACATAACTCATTTCTTATCGTCAAAACATGTTGAATATGCTGATGATACCACATTACTAGTTTCAATGAGAAACTATGATCAGAATATTTAATCATACACCCTCAAAAGTGCTCAGGAATATTTCACGAATGTAAGATTGTGTCTAAATAGTGATAAAACGAAAACGTTACTTTTTACTCTGAATTACAACTTAACCCTGGAGGACAATTTGCCGGTAAAATGCCTGGGACTAACATTAAATTGTAAGCTGACATGGGAGGCTCACATAACCAATCTGAGAAATAAATTAGCTACCTCCATCTATCTCTTAAGAAATATCAAAGATATTGTAAATGAAAGTGTTGTTCTCACAGCCTACCACGGTCTCTTTCACAGTACCATGTCCTACGGAATTCTCTTATGGGGTGGATCGGCACATGTTGATAAAATTCTCATAATGCAAAAAAGGGCACTATTCAAAAAACTAGGTATATTGACTGTGACTGATCAATTCATTTATGAATGCTTACTTTTTGCCAAGAAAAACATTTCCAGTTATACTGTTCAAAATAAATATAATACCAGATATAAATCCGTTATAGTGCCGTATTTTCGCTTATCCAAGAATCTCAACTCTTTCTGATTTCTGTCTATTAAATATTACAATATGATACCAAACGAGTGGAAGGAACTAGTCCTAGTTAAATTTGCTAAAAGGGTAAAAAGTTTTCTTAAAGAAAATGTGTTTTATAAAAGTGAAGAGTTCATACACTTCTTTAATGGAACATGAATAAGTAACAGTAATGTATTATAACTAAGTTCTCCTACTATTTTACATAGTACTTTATTTTACATTTTAAACAGCTTAAAATTTGTTTCTGCAAGTACAAAATTTTCCTTTTACTATTTTTATGACGACTGTATACAATTTTTTTAATTGTCACACAAGAGAATAAACTCTACTCTACTCTACTCTATATATTACATCAAAACTGGTTTTGGACAATGTCGAGGAGAGTTGTTTTAAGTTATGCTCTGATACATCTCTATACATAACATAAGATTGTTCAACAATTTTAGATTTTTCTAATGGCATATTATGTATGTTAAGTATAAACCTCTCCATTACTATTTCCTTTTTTTAGTGGTAATCACTCCGAAGCACTAAGACACTACGAAAAAGGCTTGCAAGAAAACTTAAACCTCGAACACACGTTCACTTGCAAAGCCGGCATAGCAAGAACGAACTTGCACTGTTCCAACTACCGGCATGGTATGTCAATCGCCATAGAACTGGACGACAAACAGCTTCTGAAAGAGTGCGCAGAGATCTTGGACAAGAAAAAACAACTTTCCGAAGCCGCGCAGCTGTACGAAAGGTGCCAGCAGTTCGAAAAAGCTGCTTCAAACTATATCAAGCTGAAGAATTGGGAAAAAGTAGGGGAGCTGTTACCCAACATAACCTCAACAAAGATTCAGCTGCAGTACGCTCAAGCGAAAGAAACCGAGGGAAAGTACGAGGAGGCCGCGAAGGCCTACGAAATCGCCAAAGACTTTGATTCCGTAATAAGGCTTCAGCTGGATCATCTCGGCAACCCCGAAATCGCCGTAGAGTTGGTACAAGAAACTAAGAGCGTCGAAGGCGCTAAAATGGTCGCCAAGTTCTTTTTACGCTTGAATGATGTTACGTCGGCTATCAAGTTTCTGGTGCTCTCAAAATGCTGTGAAGAAGCATTCGATTTGGCCAAGCAGAACGGAAAGATGTCGCTGTATGGAGAAATCCTGCTGGATACATTTTCAGAGGATGAGATTAAACCCCAGGACTTCAATGCAGTAGCTGTGCACTTTGAAAACGAACGGAATTATTTGCTAGCGGGAAAATATTGGTTTCATGCTAGGAATTATCAAAAGGTGAGTTTAAGAGTGGGTAGTTTCAGTTCGGATATTTTCCCTTGTTATTCACTTGGTAATTTTTCGATCTTCTGATAGAAAGAAAAAACTCCTATGAAATGGTATCATTTTACTTCAATAACGTGAAAAATTGGTAAAAGTTTCTCTCTCTCTCTCTCACTACACCCATTTCTCCATCTCTCTTCTCCTCCTTATTTATGTCTATATTCCTCTGTCCCTTTTCTTTGCTTAAACTTTTACAGAGCTGTATATTCTTCAATTGAATTTTTTTTGGTGAAAATATAACATTGAACTTAATTAAAGAAACAAATGGAAATGACCAAGGTTAAACAAGGTTATGTTACCAATAATATTGACCCCACTGTTTGTTAACACATGCACATCCTTTCGTTAAAGTGAAAGAAAAAGTAAAAGTATGATGTAAGAACGCTTCCAATAATCTACATCGTGACAACTTTCCTCAAATTGAAGTTTGATGTGCAAATCAGACATAAGTTGTATGGGCAATATCTATCTTTAGTTACACTAATGGGAGGCTTATCCTTCAGTACGAACTAAATTTGTCGAGTTGTTGTTACAGGCGATGAAGCACCTGCTGAAAGCCGCCAAATCCAACTCGAAGGAAAAAGAAGCCATTACCACTGCCATAGACGTCGTCGCTTCATCAAACGACGACTCCTTGTCGAACACGTTGATCGAGTTCCTTCTGGGAGAAACCGACGGCTTGCCCAAAGACCCGAAATACCTATTCAGGCTCTACATGGCGAAGAAGCAGTACCGAGACGCATCAAAGTCGGCCCTCATCATAGCCAATGAGGAGCAGATCAACGGCAACTACAGGAACGCCCACGACGTCCTGTTTGCCATGTGTCAGGAGCTGAAGCAGAACGGGATCAAGATTCCGTACGAGATGTATGCCAACTTGATGTTGCTGCACAGTTATATTTTGGTGAGGTTGCATGTACGCAGAGGAGATCACTTGAAGGGAGCGAGGATGTTAATCAGGGTCGCTAATAATATCTCCAAGTTTCCGTCACGTAAGTAATCTTTTACTATAATTAATGTTGCTTGAATTTTTTTGCAGATGATAGACGGTAAAGTAGAGATTTAGCTACAACAGTAAAAATTGAAGTAGGAACTTCGTTGAGTTTTTTTTTTCTTTTTTAACCTTCCACAAACAAAAATGGAGCAGTAGAGAATCTTCATAGCAGGGATCGGCTCAAAGCAATTACAGGGCTACTCACTAGCCACCTGAACAAAATAGGGCTGTACAACGGGGACTTTAACTGCGGGCAATGCGAGTGTGAGGCATTGGATTCCAAGAAGCAAACATGTTATGGTCAACCCAAATCATGCACAGGATAATATAACAAGCATCCGGCACGGACCTTGTACAAACTAGTACAAGGCAGATTGTTTGAGTTTGTGTTATGAAAAAGATGGGAAAAAATGCAATAAGCCCATGCCCATGAGGCCCCAGTATTTCCTGAAGACTTGGGAGAAACGGATGTCAGACGGCTGCTGAGTAGTAGAAAAAAAAAAGAATTTGTTTATTGATCCCAAGAAATATATAATCCTGCCACACGCTTCCAGCCCAACATTTTCAAAAAATTAGTATGGCATGAGCCAACCGATATGTCGACATCCTCAGTAACTTCCTTAATGTACTTCTTTCCTTTGTGTACTAAACTCTCCAAGGCTGTGTTTGCTATTAAAAAAGTTTGAGACCTTGTAAATCAAAGAGCAGCGCTAACTTCTTATTACTGCCTATTCCACTCACACCTTCAGTATGCTACTTCATCTTGGAGTAATGCATCTCAAACATACATAGTTAAACTACTAATTTTACAAAAGTCTGCCATAAGATGTATTATAAAGTCAAATTGGGAGGCTAGTTGTAGGCCTTTATTTTCATCTCTAGGGATAATGACTGTTTATGCCTTAATTATATACTACAAACTAATATATATTAAAAATAATATTGAATGCTATGAAACTCATGAAGAGATACATGAATATGATACAAGGTTTAAAACCAGAATAGTTGAACCAAAAACAAGGCTTCAAAAAACCACCAAAATTGATACGGGACTCTATAACAATTTACCATCTCAATTTCGAGATTTACCTCCAAAAATATTCAAATCTAAATTGAAATGTATTTTATCTAGTAACTGTATTTACAACTTCCAAGAATTTACTCAGTTGATCGCTGAAAATCGGCATTTGTTCATGGATAATCACAGTGATTGAATATAACTTCCCATTTTATTGTTACGGTATATATCCATATATTATCTATATTTCATTCATTTAACATTCTATACATTAACATTATAATACTTCTTATTTTTTATTATTAGCATTCATTTTTAAGGAAATGTGAAAAAATCGTTGAGGGTTCCTGAAATCTTTGGAATATCGTCACCTTTGACTAATGTCTCGTGATTTCCTTCCAATTTGATGATAGAAACAGGCTGTTGGCATTGCTTTTGTAGTCCGTAGTGTTCTGATTTTTCAAATGGATTATTGACTCTCCTTATCAGCACAATTTTTCCTTTGAATATACTCTTTGGTTCATAATGATATGCTGCTACACACCTTCTTTCATATTTTATTAGAGACACAGCAATTTCATTACTATCAATGCCTGTTTTCTCAGATATCAATTTACTGGAGTCCTGAAGTTTGCTTTCAAAACTCTGTGATCCCGATAAGCAAGCAATAACTTCTTGTTGGCTTACTTCAGGGAAGTGAGAGCAGAACGATCCCAAAATAGCTAATTTGGCTTTGTCTACTGATTCACCAACCCTAGCGAAACCTGGTTCTAGAGTATTTTTGACGAATTGGGTTGATCCTTCTATAGACACGATGTCAACAACTTCTCCTTCACTTTCCAATTGATTAGCCATCTCAAGCGACAATACCCCACCAAATGAGTAACCACAGAAGAGAAAAGGACCTTTCAGTTGTATGTTTTTTTTACATTTTATACATCATACTTCATATATTTTATACATTTACGTTTTATATATAATTCATACATTTTATATATTCATATTCAGTCATCCCTTAAAATGTATTTTATCTTGTATGTAGATCATATATGTTTTTGTTATTCTTCAATATCCCATATCACAATCATTGTCAACCTCGATTATATTACCAGGACTACAAATTATTCTATCATCTATCTTCAGTTATTAGGTTTAAGGTTTGGACGTGTCTATAAAATGTAAAATTTTCTTGAGGCAAATAAAGATGAAATGAAATGAAAAAAATTGTTATTCGATGATTCTCCATAAAAATTTTCTTCACTTTCTCAACATTTTTATCGGTTATTGATGTGTTTGGGCTTTCAGGGTGAACGTCATCATTCACATCTTCTCTACCTTCTATGAAAAGCTTGTGCCACTTGTAAATATTTTTCTGACTCGGAGTATAATCACCGTATGCCACTGTCAATATTTGAGTTGTTTTGATCACTAAATCTCATTTCCCATACTCAGTTTGATGATAGCTGAAACTGTCAACAAAGATGACTTGCTTATAGATTTTTTTTTGTAGATGTGGTACCAATTTTGACGTCAACTGTAATTGAATGTCACAGAGCAGGTTTGAGGCATGCGGCTTACAAATATGCTACTACTCTGATGACCCCTGAATATAGAAGGAGTATCGACGCGAAATACAGTAAGAAAATAGAAGCAGTGGTTAGAAAACCGCCGAAAAACGGTAAAGACGGCGAACCGATCAGTGATCCAGTTGAACCTTTAACTCCATGTCCGTACTGCGAAAATATGTTACCAGAAACTGAAGTCACTTGCAGCAGCTGTAAAAATAATATACCTTTCTGCATAGTTACGGTAAGTAAAGAGTGAAAAAACGTTTGATAATGATGAAACCAGCAATGTTTGTGTAAAAGCCAACAGGAAGTGCCACTTTTGATAGACAGTGGAACAATTTGAAATGATATGTCAGAAGCAAAACTCTCTTAATAGATGAAGTCTTTTTTTCAAAGTTAATATTCAGTATTTTTCATTTTGACTGCTGTTATTCACTTCGACTGATGATAGTTGTAACCAATAATAATAAATTCGGAGAATATTTTCAAAAAGTAGCCAATATATGGCTCCACTCAATAATAGCAGTAATAAGTTCATTTTGATATAATTTATACAACTTTAAGATGGGATATTTCAACTTACTTAAGGCTGGCGAACGTAGTTGGTATTAATGCAACTAGGGAATTTTCTATAAAATCCAAAAGATGGCGCGAGTTATTCATAGCATCGACACACTCTGTATTAATAAGTTTTGTCGTTCTTCAGAGCAGACATGGGCAGGGCCAGAGACCAACTATCCCAAACAAATGAAATATTTCAAAAAATGCTCCAACTTACTCAATTCTGGTGAACGTAGTTGAAATTAATGAAACCAGTGAGCTTTATGAAAATTCCAAAAGATGGCTCCACTTATTGATAACAATAAGGTTCATTGGCGGTAGATTCGGATACATTTCATTGAACTTTCTACATGTTCTGCTGATAATTTTGTCACACTGTCCAAAAATAATAAACAAATTCATAAGAACTTCGTTTGAATAGTTTTGTTCCATCGTTTTGAAGGTATTTGCAACTTCTGAAGTGACGAAAATGTCGATATTATTAGGAGAATGTCACAACGCTACTGTCAAATAGTAATCATGGCCTGCTTACCAAATACCGAATGGAAATACCATTCTGAAGGGACATTTTCACAAATAAATGTTCATAAGTCCGAAACTTGACTAGTTAGGTATAGGTATGATATACATAGAAAGAAAGCAAATTTCAGCAGCTTTCCGAATTTTCAATAATATACAGGGTGTTCCATTTAAAATAATCAAATTTCAGCAACTTTTTCAAGCAAACGAAAAAACTGTATTTTTTTACCACCCTGTATTGAAGTAACGGAGATTAGGCTGACGTATGGGAAGTGTCTAAGTATCACCTAACTCCAAACCAAATTTCGATATCATAGTACTTCTTAACTAAAAGATATCGGCATTTTTAGAAGTCATGATTTTCGAAGAAAAAAATTGAAATTAATTTTTATTTCGAAAACGGTAACAGATAGGTATAGGGAAATATCAAGAAAAGTTGTCGGGCAATTGTTGGAGATTCCAAAAATAATATTATATACAGAGTGTTCCATTTGAAAAATCAAAGTTGCTACTGCTTTCTAATAGAAGCGGCAACACCGCATTGTCGAAAATATTTTAGTTGGCTAGAGAATGTCGGAATATGCCCTCCACTAAATTTTCAAAGTGATCCGTTGTCTGGTTCACCAGAAACGTCTAATGTGCCATCCACCGTGAATCAGCCTGTATAACCCCTTCAATTCAGACAAAATTTTTGTTCTCAGGGTCGCCATATTTTAAATACTGATTTGACTGCGTGTCCCGAATGCGATTTTCCAGCTCTGCTAACTGAATTCTTTGAGTAAGTATTCTATAAGATATTTTTGATGGTTAATTTACCAACGTTTTTTTTTTTTAGATACCTAAAGAATGAAGAGCACTGTCCTATGTGCTCGGAAAAGGTCGACTCTAGGAGATTGTTCAAGATAGGAAACACCAAACCTTATTTGAACGTAGAATAGATGTCATAAAAGTTATCATTTCATTTCACGCGAATGATCTCATTGTTTTTCAACTCAGTAGTTATAAGATGAAAAGTGATCCTGATTCCGTCCAATATTGATGGTACAATTATTTTCAAATCGAGTCTGTTGTGGTATTGTTGATAATTTATTTATTTTTTCAGTTCCTAGCTATTAAAATTCACTGAGAAGTATATGTTTCATTAGGAACCTTTCAGTTTCAGATATAAACATTAAATTGAATTGTGGGGTACCCCAAAGTATGGCTCTGGAGCCCTGGGATACGAGTCAATATTTGCAGTTACTGTTTTTTTAATGTATGAAATAAAAACTCCATTTCATCATTGAATAATATATTTACACACAATATCCCCGAAATAAGGTAGGAATTGCTAAAACTATTTCTCACAATTTAAAAATGTTTGTAAAAATCACATGCACAAAGATTCATTTACCTCTGACGAGGTTAACAAGACTGATATCTGGGATATGTCCACACAAAAACAGGTTGAAAATGGTGAGGGATAACGATAAATAATACTTCAAATGACATTCATGAAAATTCAGGGATTTACATTTCATTTCTTTCAAAACTCTTAAAAGTATTATTGGACATTTGCTGAGGAAATTTTCAGCGATATCATTTCCAATTGTGTATTAAATTGGTTTTGAATTTCGTTATTCCTTTGTCGTACAAGACTGAAAATCCTTAATATTGCACCTCGGGCCAAGATTAATTTTTTTTCTATACATGCTCCATAATTCAAGAAATGTTCACAATCTGTTCAACGGGAAATCATTCGTTTACTGTTTGTTAACATTTTGTTGTTGATACTTTACGGTTTTTCTTTCCCCGTCATTCACTCTTCAATCACTCTCTTTCACCTTCTGTTCTCATATCTTATTTTTGTCTTCTATATATATTCTTGTTTTTTATTTTTACCCTTTCACATGTTTATTCATTCTCGGATTCTATCTCAGGTTTCTACCTCCTCTTTTACTCTTATATTCTCAACCATTCCCTTGTCAATACGTTTTTTCTTACTCGAACCTGCTTCACTCTTTCATCAATTCAACAGTCTTCGATTTAAAACTAATTTTCTTCCATTTTCTCTATCTTTCCAACGTGTTTTTCATTTTTCCACTGTTTTTTTACTTCATATCTAATTCAACTAGCTTTATTTTAACTATTTTAATTTTTCCACCTCTCAGTTTGTGATTTTGGTGCATTTTCCTTTCTCTCTACTTTCATATCAATTTTTATATCTTTTCCAGTTCTCTCTCTATCTCTCTCTGTCGTATCTTTCTGCTCACATCTTTCCTATTCTTCCTCCTCTTTATTTCCTCTCATTCTCTCCGTCTACTATCTTCCTTCATTCCCATTCCTTTCTGTGTTCCTTTATTTAATCTTTACCCCATAATGAGCCAAAAAATAATTTTCAAAGGAGCATTTCTTAAAGTTCGACTCTCGACTTTATGAACTACAGGGCCAAATTTGAACTGAAATGTGCTCTCTGTTTTTTCACTGTACAATCATGTTTGTTTTCATCAATAAATATGTTACAAACTTCTGTGTTGGTTCTTTTCACCAACCACCTCACTTTTTCCAATTTGCACATGTATATAGAGTACGGATAAACGGAAAATTACAAAAATATGGTAAAAGCTCGAGGTGTACGCAGCAAATTGAAGGTAATGAAAACAGCCAATTTTCAGTAACATATTGGTTTAGTTCCACCATGGTCACTGTATTCGGGGCCAGTATGTTTGATGGGAAGCCATGTCTGTTTGTCCTGGTACAGCTATTGGCACAGACACACCAGGCGATATCAATCCTGAAAAACAAAAACGAGTGTCAATTATTTTAATTTCATCCTCTACAACCAAGCCTATTAGCAAACTGATATCACAAGAATTATTCTATTTAACTAACCATAGCTGAAACTGTGAATACATATGTTCGAGACGAGGGTACCAACATAAAAAAAACAATTGAACATTCACCTTATTTTTTGAATAGCCCCTGTATATCAAAAACGTACCAACAAATCATAGAAATCCGTTTTCAGTAATGATGACTTCAACATAAATTAACTATCAAAATTGAATTTCAATGGCGAATTGAAATTATTTTGGTCTTTTTCGATGAAAATATGAGTGAATCGAATAAAAAAATGGAAAATAATCTCTCTTCCACTATATTGTGGCGAAATTCTCATGATTTGTTTGAAGGTGACTGACAATGTTTCATGATGAATTTCACTAGTTCGGACTTCCATTGATGTCTAATATATAAAATGATTTGAAATCCCTGAAACAATTAAAAAAGAATAATTAAAAATAAATAGCTGTAAATAACAATTATATTGAGCAAAAAAAAAACCTGAAATGAAATAATAGTGAAATAAAATACAATAAAAAATAAAACAATTAAACAAAAATAAAGTTGAAAAAAGATAAAGAGATTTCAAGTCAAGTTAGTTCACGACATTTCGATTGTTAGTATCCACAATCGTCTTTGGCTGATGACTGGACTGATTCCTCCGAGAGATGACTATTTATGGGTCGTTCGAGTGCTTTCACTTATCCCCGCTTTCCATTTTTTTCCGCTTCAATGGTTCAGAGGGAGATGACCGTTTGGCAGGAGAGGCCATTTTTCGCTTGATGATGGGTTTCCATACGTTGCGTATTTCTACGCTGGCTTTGCTGAATACGTTGTTGGACAACATGTATGTGGCTTCCTTGAATTTTCTCCTAAACCAATGTTCCTCTCTGTGTAAGAACTCAGCTTGGGACCACTCGATGTTGTGATGATAGGTCCAAACATGGTCTGCTATTCCTGATTTGCAGGTTTCCCCTCGCTGTGTGTGTTTCTTGTGCTCGGCAATGCGAACATTCAATGGCCTCTTAGTTTCACTGATATAGGATTTTCCGCACTCACAGGGTATCCGGTAAATGCAATTTTCGGAATTGCAGTTCGCGTTTGCTGGCCTGGTTTTCGTGAGGCTGCTACGGATAGTGTTACCGGATCTGAAGCAGATTCTGATGTTGTACTTGGAACCAATTCTGCTTATCCTCTCCGATAATCCTCTGATGTAGGGAAGTGCAAGCACTGGTTGTGACGGCTTCTCTTCCTTGCTAGGCTCCTGCTGTCTTTTAGCCAAAATCTTTTCTACCATCGCTTAGGAGTAGCCATTCCGTGGAAGATCATTTTTGATGATGTCAGGTTCCTTCTAGAGACCTTCCTTTGTGTTACAGAGCCCGAAAGCACGGTCTGATAGTCTTGATGATTCCTCTTTTAGTTGATCGATGGTGGTTGGATTCGTGGTTCAGATACTGTCCCGTATGAGTGGGTTTTCGGTATACAGATGTTTCCCACTTAGTGTCGGTCCTCTTCACCAGAACGTCTAAGAATGGCAATTCGTTGTGGATTTCCTTCTCCATTGTGAAAGTGATGGAAGGTCTCACGCTGTTGATGTGTTTTAGGAAGGCGTCTAGTACAGTATTCCCATGGTTTCATATTATGAAGGTGTCGTCAACATATCTCAACCAGATTCGAGGTTTCTTGTGGGCTTCTTCAATGTCCAGAGTTTCAAACCACTCCATATATATGTTGGCTATGACTGGTGAAAGTGGCGATCCCATTGGCAGTCCCTCATTAATATGGGGATGTATAATAATCTAACAACGAGCAGTACTTATTACTACTCGCAACAACAAAAATAGAATAAGAAATAACGGAAAAACTAATTGCTAAACTGATAAATTCTCAACATGTCTACGGACTAGACATCTGAATTTTGTGAGAGACATATTCCAATCGATGTCATTTGCCAGACGATGTAGAAGTAACAGTCATGAATGGAGTCTTAAACTTGAGGATAGTACGCGTAGGTTTGGGAGGTAGGTACATTAATTAGTATTAGTGACAATAATTCTGCAGAATTCATACTATTATTAATTTTATATATAAAAATCAGTGCAAAGATTTTTCGCCTGGAGTCTAAGGAGGGTATATCAAATTGAGTTTTCAATCGTGGCGTTCTAATGCTGTTGTAATCGGCTCTATTTCTTATTATATAGGTACTTTGAAAATTTATTCTGTACTTTTTCTAGTTCCTGTAAGGTTGTTTGGTATTCTCCATTTCAAATTACAGAACCGTATTCAAGTTTAAATCTCACTAGCATGAAATAGAGTACTTTTATTCATCGGTCAAAAAAGTTGAGAGCTTTCTAATTTTTTTCAAATATATACTCGAACATTATTTACTACTCTTTTATGTATTCAAAACTTCAATATTGAGTTTCTATTTGAAGCAATACCAGAAAATCGGCTTTGTATCATTTAAAAAAGTTACAAAATTAAGCAATAAAATGTATACCACTTGCTATTTCTAGAACCAACACTTAAATTATATGAATCTAGAAGTTTACTGGACATCGATTCATTGTTTAATACTAAGATAAGTATAAAAATTCAAATATGCTGTAAATTTTGATTGTCATGAGTAGTTTACAAGAAAATCGAACCAAATAACTTTTCAAATACAAGGTTAGATTTAATTATTAAAAATTCATTATGCTTCTTCGAAATATTAATTCAATAATTCACCCAGTCACATAAAAAACGTTGATGTCAGTGAAGTTAAGAAAACTGTTTCCAAAGTATATGCAAAAAAAAAATTAATATAAGGAACTTTCAGATTTCATCTAGTTTTCAATTCAATTTCGACCTGTCATAGATATCAGTGGTGACAAGTCATATTTAAACTTGACACTGTTCTTCTCAAACTCTCGAAAGAGTTTAACTGTTGCATCCATAACCCTATCTAGCATTGCTGAGACATACTACAGGTTGAATCAGAGCTGAGCGGTATTGGATCCTAGAGGCAATGCTTCTGCAGTTTGGTATCATCAAAAACTACTACTAACAGAACAATAATGATAAAAATCCTAATGACTAGTTTGACGAAATGGTTTCCGACAGAGTTATTCTGCTATCTTGATAGACCTGCTACAAGCCGTTACGTTGGATTACATACGATTTAGATCTGACAACTTAGGATGTATTTTCACGTTATTGTTAGTAACTGTAGTAACTACAGCTGTGACAGGCTTGCTGTCCTTGTTCATCTTTCACTGCCTGAATCACTGTGCATGCTGTTTTTGGCGAGTGCATTGGCTTGGGATGTTGGGGTTGAGCAAATCAGCCATCGGATGCCTGCTTCCATATAGCCCCGCTGGATACAGGAATGACATAATCATTTGTGGTTCTGTTATTCCCTAACTGAATGGTATCCCAACGATGGCTTAATCCCAAGGTGTGTGTATCCGTGTCGAGAGGATGAATGTCACTGAGCCTGTCAGCTGTCTCAACGGAACCTTCGAGATACTGGGCGTCCTCTCGTCGTAGCATCGCCCTGTCACGGTAATGCGGAGCTCTGCCGTGATTGACCTTCTTTCCCTAGCTACTCGTGGGACTTTTATGGACAGAGTAAACTTGAAAATTCTTTCTGACGCAGAGTCTACAGAGGAGATGGATGTCGAGCTGTATATTTAGATTAGGAGCGAGTCTACAGAGGAGATGGATGTCACTTTGAACCTAACCTAACCTAACTTAACTCCGTCTGTAGTCACTCAGTGTTAGTAGAATAATCCCACAACAAAGTAAAGTTTTATTGAAATCACTAGCTCAATACAAATCAAGAAAAACAAATAATACATACACGTTTTAGTATCTCCTGAAGGTCTTAATCAACAACTTAAAAACTATATATCTCACCTGTCGAAGACGATCCATTAGTATTGTACTGGTGTCCGTTCATTTGATATGGTTGCGAAGGGCTACAAGGAGACGGTCTCGACCCGTAACCTATCCCGAGGTCGTAACTGGGTGGTCGACCCATGCAGTATCCCCCCATTGCACTCCCCATCGTCGGGCTCTCCCTCTGCTGCAGACAAGCGCCCGGTGACGGACCCATGCTAGAAGTGAGACCGCCGTGGGTGAAACCTGACATGCCCGACATCGAGCTGAAATTTTAAAAATCACTTTGAAGAAAAATGTTTGTATATACATCATCATCAAGTTCAAAATCGTGGGGAATCGTGAAATCCACCGTCTACGTTAAACAAGCGTAGTCCATTTCAAAACTCATGGATAAAAACAAACATATCTACTTGATTATTATCAAGAAATGACTGGTGAATGTTGTTTTTGATGAAATTGTGATATTATCGTTCATTTGTAATTTATTGAAAATAATATACTACGAATAGGTAATTGTTCAGGATAGAGAATTAACAGGTTTATCAAATAATGTATCACATGATAAGAAAAACAGCTGCCGCTCTTTTTCATTCATCAACATAATTCATGACGATACAAGACATGGTCCTTCGAGCCGGATAAACATTTTAATATCTCAAAATGTATTGAAAGTACCTGTACGTATCAGCAATAGACATTGGCGGCGCGATCGGCGAATACATGGAGGTGTTGTTAAAGCTCTGCAGCCTAGGTGGCGATGAAGCAGGTCCCGGATGTTCTGCCGGAGCGGGAGCCCCTCTCCGTTGATTTCTTAATTTTTCCTCTCGCCTCCATTTCGCTCTTCTGTTCGAAAACCATACTTGAATTCGTGCTTCGGGTAATCCTATTTTTGCCGCTAGTCTTTCTCTGGCGAAGACGTCTGGGTAATGAGTACGTTCGAATTCTGTAAGAAAAAGTTTGTATTTGAAACATTGTTCATAATTGAGAAGTTCGCCAACATATCTTTGATGAAACTATATTCCTCAGCAATTAGTTAATTGTGTTGCAGTTGGATTACGGTCTTAGCATCATTAAATCATAAATAAATGTGCGGTATGTGAATTATACAAATAAACAAGGAGATTTTATTGAATAGTAATCACAAGTTAAAAGGTGAGACTTCGTTAGTCCTTATTTCGCACAAGTTTCGACTTCTGAGGGTTGTCGTTCGTAGGGGTGGGATAGCTGTTTAACGAAAAAAACATATTTTAAACATTTTTAATAATATATTTAAGAATATCAGTCACATATTTAATAAAATGATAAGAAACCAAAAATGAAAAAAAATGAGACTTCAATTCAACCACGTTTGCAAATAATATTCCCATTTTCTGCAGCAAAAATCTAATCAAATTGATTCAACACTTCACAAACATGTCTTTCAAAGAATTTTCTTCTATGCTGTCCACCTTTGCCTTTCTCTTCATATTTTTTTTTACATTATTTCTTTTTCTGTCTCCTTCTCTTTTCCATGTCTACTCTCTACCTATCTTTCTTTTTCCCACATGTTCCTTCAATTTGCGCTTTTCCACTTTATCTTAATAATTCATTTATTTGAGTTCTAACGTAAAATACCAATTTTTACCTATTTGTTTATCCAAAATCTATTTGATAAATCATTTTTCTAATAAGTTTTTTCATTACCTACTTTTATATAAAAGACATTCTAGAATAGTAAATTTCCAGTAACTGATGAAGCTATCGTGTAGAAAAACTCGTTTAGACAAATATTTTAATAGTAATAATTATTGTCAGGGATAGTGTTATTAATTTTCAACAAGTAACGGGTCGAAGCATGCATAATTGTAAATTAATACAATTATATTAGTTTGAAAATTTCCTTATGGGACAATTGCATTTTTGAACGTGATTTTTTTATTCTGATACACTATTTTTGTAAGGAATCACACGTTAAAAGGTAAGACCTCGTTAGTCCTTAGCTCGCACAAGTTTCGACTTCTGAGGGTTGTCGTTAGTAGGGGTGCGACAGATGGTTAACGGAAAACCATATATATTTTTGATATTGACAAAAATAAAGCTCTTGAGCAACATTTATATTTTTCCACAAACCACGACACACAATAAATCAATAATAAAAAATGATTTCCAAATGGTTTCAACTCACTGTATATGGAGCTTTGTCTCTCGAGTTAATCTAAGGATTTTCATATTATATGATAAAAGCTAATCGTCTGATTGGAGAACAAAAAACAATCATGATACTTTGAAACATCCAGGAAAGGTGCTATAAATGCTTTTGTAAGAAGTATTTCACTGGTTTAGACTATTTGATCCATCCAAGAGCGATGATTATCATATCCTAGAAGAGGACTGGTACATATTGCAATAAAATCTGTTGAACTTCAATTTGTTAGTAACTGATTTTTATATCTATCAGTATAAAAGTATCATTACTGTGACACAAAGGTGTATAGTCAAGGTATTAAGTAACATCACTACAAGTTAACATGAAAAGTTTTCTTCATCTCCTGAAGAAGCCAAAGTTGTGCGTCGGGAAGAGTGTTATGGTTCTGGTGTTTGAGAATAGTGCTTGTTTCGGATGAAAAGATCCATGATTCACAAAAGTCAATATCAATTGATTTTAGTAAATGTAAGTATGACCTAACATTTATTATTTGGCATTGGAAGTTCCATATTATTGAAAAGTATGTGTCAGGAATCACACTTTGAAAGGTAAGACCTCGTTAGTCCTTAGCTCGCACAAGTTTCTCAACTTCTCAGAGTGGTCGTTCCTATGGGGGCGACAGCTGATTAACGGAAAAACAAATTTTAAACAGAAACATATTTTTAAACACTGCTGAATTGTTATTTGCTTACCTTTTATTTTTTATTTAAGCTAGCATGTATTATGAGTCGCAGTAGTGATATTCGATTCCATTAATTTTTATCTCTAAATACTTACAAAAGATATTTCATCACATATAGTCTTGTCATGGAGTCTTTTTTAGATTCAATTTGTTTTTCTCAACCGATACTTTTAGTGAAGCACGTCCACATTATGTTCAGATCGATGGACATTATCAGTTGAATAAAAAACGCAAGAAGTGAAAATTAACAGAGGACAAACAAGTTAAAAATAACCAAATACACATGATTTAGCTGAAATTCAAACTAGATGTAGGGATCACATCACAACTTTTCAAAGAATCTTTGGATAACCACTCAAACAATCGTTCGACATTATTTCGAACGGCATGTTTCTCTTACCTTTTTCTAAACTATCGATTTGGTCGTTCGTGAAAGACGTTCGGTTTCTTTGGAGTTTCCGCTTGAGGCGCAGCCTAGCTTGATCATCGTCAGGCCCTATACTCGAGCCAGCATTCGAGTTATCTCCGGAATTCGTTTCATCGGAATGGATGCCGTCCAGTTCTGGAATAATAAAAGGATTTTCAGTATGGGCGCCAGAGATTGAATATTTGTTAATACGGATTTGATACACCGGTAGAGGAACTATGTATGTCACATCAGTATTCAGTACAATTTTATCAAATAATTTTGGAAATTATAAAATTCAAGTATGAAGAAATTATAAATTTTTACATTTCAGAAAATATGTTTGTTAGCTGGTGTACATTTTATGTATGTATCAATAACGTAAAATGACAGAAGACTATCTAAGTAAGACAGAAAATATTAATAGTTTCTGCTTGAAATACACAGTTTTCTCAAACAACAAAATTAGTACAAGCAAAAGAATATGGAGCAATGAGCTGCTAAAGTCAATTTAATGAGAAAGCCAGTCTTTTCATGTAAAAGACATTTTGCCGAGAGATATAGATATTGATACATAAATGAAAGTATGCCAATTTTTTTACATCTCAACCTTTTCTCAAAGTCTTCATTGTTTTCATGATATTTAAATTTTTTTGTAGATTAGTAAAAACCAGAGCTTGAGATAAATGGTGAGATCTTTCAAAAAAATCGAGTTAAAACAAAAGTGGCACAACTGAATAACTAACCAAAATATATATTTGCTAGATTAATGATTCAACTAGAATAACATGTCCATTATGCGAAATAGGAAAGTGCACTCAATTAGGTACAATAAAAGAGATGAAAGGTAACACAATTGAAGACAGACAAACAAATCCAAAATTAATAAGAAACCGTAAAATGCAAATCCCAGACAAGATAACATCAAAAACGGGCATTATGGTTGAATATCAAATCATGGAAAGTTCGAAAATCAAAAATTTATAGAGAGGAAGAGAAATTAACAGTGATCTTACCCTGCCAGGGCACGGAAAATAAGAAAACGTTTAGTCCTTATAATTTTTGAAATTATCTTCTGAAAACATTATGAACGAGATTCCTTGATTCATTTATTCTTGCAAACTGAAAAGAAAGCGATCCATGATCCATTTCAAATAGCAATTTATGCGCGAACCCACTGCCTTCACCAAAATCAATATTACATCCACAAACCCAAAGAAACGCCTTCGCCAAAATATGTACTCGAACCCGCCTTCACCAAAATAAATAATTTTCTCTACGACTAGAAATTAGCAAGTTCATCAATTTTATTTGCAGGTTAGTAGGTTATCGATTTTTTGCATTTTTCAAAGGAAAATCTGGTAATAATCATGAAACTTTCAAAGTTTACAGAATTTTATATTTCATATTTTTTTCCAAGTGCAATTGGAGAGACCAGGAAGTTATTTCACAAGTCCCGAACTCACCTGCCAATATACCTATCGTTTTCTATATTCAATTATTTTCAGAAAGAAAACAAAAGTAATTAGTTTAACCGTGGGCCAAATTTTCAAATAAAAAATTCATAATATGCATAAAACTCAAACGCATTTGAAATTCCATTAGTTTGGTGAATAAAAACTATATTGAAAGTAAAGGTGACGACATCTGGGATCGACAGAAGCCTTAATCCTTGAATGTCAAAAATATACAAGGCTCCTCAAGGCGGTCAGTTGCAAAATCAAGCTTTGACATCGACCGCCGAACGAAATTGGTCCTCTGTCTTTCACTGCCAGGCACCTAAATGTAATGGTATCTTCGTAGGGGTAGGTGTCATTACCTTCTCTTTCAGAACAGTTGAGTGGTTCAGCCAAGCATCACATGCATTAAATTGATTGCTGATAATTTTTATTCGGCGCTGCGGTCGGACGAAATATTGTGTTACTATCACTAGACTATCATGTTGCCAGATTTAAAAATTCAGCTTCTGCAAGAATCCGTTCGACGCTAGCGCCGAATTAAAATTATCAACAATCGTTTTAATTCATGTAACTATAATTATCAACTAACAATTTCATTCATGTTTCACAGAAATTGTAGTAAATTATTCGATAGTTACAAAAAAAGTATAAATGACAAACATTCGACAGTTGATTCCAGACTAATGACAATTTTTTTCAATAACAGATGGAATTCCAGAAATCCAAGAAACCGTTCAAAAGAAAGCCAACTGTACGTCGCACCAGTCGGCTGCCGATCGAGCTAAGTACCTTTTTTAATGTCCGCGTCAATGCGCAATAATTTATTTCGAAAAGGTCCCCATCAAACGGCCACCTTTTTCAATTATATTCCTAATATAGCACATTCTGCATGGGTGCGCAAATCCAAAAACAGTTCTCTCTCGATTCATAAAGGAACACATGTCCTTTTTTGTGTTCGCCTGTTCCGGTATCACAAATAATATGTTGTATGAAATTTGAGTGTGTTTATGTATTTTCTTCGGAACGTGTCCCTTACATTGAAGATGTTTCACGAGGTGATTTATTGGTTTTGCCGAGACCGTTACGGCAATTGGATAATATATTTTGTAGAAAATATGTTTTATTTATAAAATGAAGGAGTCAGTAACTCATTTCTGACGATGTTATGAACTGTAATGATCTACCTATGTAAAATATTTTTCTAGTTAAAGAACTTTTTCTTGCAGATAATGTATTTTTCATTCGTGTTTTCTGAAGAATGATAATTTTCGCTCCTCGTAATAATAATGTATATGTCAATAGGAAAGAAAATGTTGAGAAATAATATGGCCTTCTTCCATAGTCAAAAGTTGCTGCAGAGAGTTTCGAAAAATAACTAATATATGTATGAAAGCTTTTTTCGGGTTTTCTGCATAAAAAACTGTAGACCACGACCAGAAAACCCGGAAAATAACTTTCATATAGTTATCTCCGGCCGTGAAAGTTTACTATGACTAATATAATTAAACATTGTTATCGAGAACAACTTGTGGTCTGAAGGCCTTATTTGTTAATGTGGTTGAATGTAACATAGTGATCTTCATTACAAAGTAGGTAAAAATGTTTTCTTGTTATCCTCTAATAGTTTTCTGCTTTGCTTGCACTATATCATAGATATAGCTTCTTGAATATACGGGGTGTGGCCACAAAATAACGGGACCGGTTTTCCGTGAGACAAACGGTGTGACCCTCAAGGTCAAGGGCCATTTTGCCTAGTCGCCTAACACCACCTCTCTACTCGTACATTCCCGTCGGTTGGGTAGCAACCTTTGTTTGTTTTTTGCTTCGGAAAGTGAATCGGCCGCTATTCGGAAGAAAGGCTTATTGAGTGAGCAAAACCCATATGGTGAGTGGTGAGTTTACTAGTTGTATAAGCGTTTCCAGGATGGTCGTGACCCGTGAAGACGTTGAAGATGCCGAAAGTGGAAAAAGTGAAGGAAATGATTTTAAACGATCGCCGAATCAAAATCAGAGAAGTCGCTGATAATTTGTGTATAGCAATCCGATGAAAACACACGGATTTGTGAAAAATAAATTTATGGCTTTGCACCTACTCACACTTCATTGCTGGTTCATGAATTTATGGCCAAAAAATTCTGTAACGACGCCCCAGCCCACATATTCGGCAGACTTGGCTCCGTGTGACTTTATCCTATTTCCAAAAATGAAGAGAACCTTATAGGGAGTCGTGTTACTAGCAAAGATGATAGTAAAAGCGCAATGCTGAAAAATTTAAAGGCTATTCCAAAGCTCGAATTTGAGAAGTGGATCGAGGATTGAAAGAAGTGCTAATGGGGGCTATTTTGAAGGCAACAACTTTAATGTAGAAGAGTTTCAACATTTGAACTAGTGAAACAGATTCAAACTTACAAATCTAATGAAATTTATAGTGTGACAATTGTGCAATTATGATCCTGAATAGTGGATAGTTCCATTATACCTCGTATTTAAATTTAGATATACATTTTTTATTATCAACAAGCGTAAGAAATCTTTCATTATAAACGTCACAATTATTAGTAATCCATGACTTTTCTCCACATGTGACATAAACTGACAAATGTTTCACACAAAAGAGGAAAGCAGAGTGTTGTCTATAATTTTTTATCCATTTTCGTTCCGCATCTAGTCACTAAATTTATTGAATTTTTTGTTGAACATTTCTTCTGATATTTTCAGAAATGTACTTTGCTTGATCATTTTCAGAATTCGGTTAAAAAATGCATATCTTCAGGATGTAAATTGGCAAAGAATCACAGGAAGTATGTATATTTCAAGAGTAACTTTAATAACATATTTGATTACACTAACTTATGTTTCAGTTTATAAATATACAAAAGTGAAGCATTCCTAGAAATTCGTTAATGCATTAATCTTCGTGTTATAAAACTAGTTTCATAATATACAACTTATGTTGTTGTGGCGTCTACGAGTTGAATCTAGGAAAGAAAAAAAATAAAAAAACACCCTACGTTTCAGGCAATTTTCAGCCAATTTCAGCCCTTCTCAATTCTCCTACAAAACAACCCTCTAGTTTTTACTTTCAGGTTTAAAACGCGTTAAAACCGTATCGGGCCGATAATATACGGCTGCTGTAACACGTTTAGGTTAAGAGACAGATAGTGAGCGGTACAGTAAAGTGATCAAGTCTAGAGGGGTTAGGAAGCGGAGAGGGCGGCTTTGGCGGATCCTTTCTGTTTGGGTGGGCCGGTCCCGCGTAAGATAAGACATACAGATCTGCCGTAGCGGAGTCAACCAACCAGAAACTGATGATAAGGACCGAAGGAAACAGTGAATCGGTAGAGGGGAGATGGAAGATGCCGGAGAGGATCGCAAGACAGGGCCGGAATCGAGATTTCGCAACAGGAATATTCAGTGATACGGAGTTGCCAATTGGACTTTGAGTGGAATGTTTTTGAGAAGAACATTCATTGAAACCTGGAGTAGGCATTTTGATGAGAACAAAAATTACTCAGTATCAGGAAAAATTTAAAAATATCAACTAGTAGTTGAGGCAAATCCGTTAAATTTAAAAAAAAAAAACTCTCCAAAATTGTGCACACGCCTATCCACGTCTACAAAATGATTGATGATGCTATAAAAAGAAGAATTTGTACAACAGATGTAGTTGTGGTACAGAAAAGTAGATGCTCGTAC